AGATAAGAAAATAATCAATATTACATTATTTCTAGCAACTCTTTCTACACCTAAATTACGGAAAACCTTTACCAAGAATTTTCCTAATCGAAAATACGATTCGAAAAGGACAAATGTTATAGATATCGTGATGAATCAAGCGTAACCACAGACGCATACTTGTAATTGACCTGCAAGCTGCAATAACACGCAAAATGCAAGGCCGTATCAAGTTGAGCGAGTTTCCCTTATATTTGAATAACGTTGTAAGGTCGCACTTGAAATTAATTAGGATTCTAAATTAAATGCACAAATACACATTGAGTATTTTTTTAGGGTTTTACCTTTGTGACAAGTAAGTAAGCTAGGTGTTATTCCCGTATATACTTTTTTATAGAACAGGTGACGCCCATAGACACTGCCAGAAGACGCAAGTGCGTTGCCGTTGAAATAATTGGTACGCTCTTATCTTGTAGGACCCTTAGTCGAATTTATTCTGTTACGTGAAGTTCTCACCTCTTCAGCGGCTACCATATAGTGGTGGTGCGCGGCAAAAACCGCACTAATCATAACATAAAAAACGTCTTGAATAGGGAACAATTATAGTATTACGTCTAAGTATTGACTCGGAATTTAGTACAATTATTAAAAAAGTCAGCTTTAGTGAATTCTGATATAATTTTTTAATATATACTTTATCATAAATTTGCTTGAAACTTTATATGTCATTTTGGTATTTATCAGTGCGAATATCATATCAAAATTAATCATACCCTGTTTATCAGTATTGAGAAAGTTATATAATTAATAAATTTATCAAAAAATGATTAAGGGTAAATATAATAGAATTTAGATAAACAAGTAATCGGCACTCAGAGAAAAGCCCCTTAAAGATTTCTTACCGTCAATTAAATATCCTGAATCTGTCAAACAACAAAAATAAAAAGAAACCCTATTACGATTTCTAAACGCATTCATAATGACCGAAATATTAAAACAAAAGAAGAACTTTTTCTTTTTTGAAAAATGTATGTACACATATGTTAAGGACAATATATCATAGCAACTAATACTTAAATAAAGAAAGTTACGCCTAAGAAAGTAAAGTTGCTAGCGGGAGTTTGATAATAATATTATTAAAAAAATAAATATACATATGATGTCTTAAACATTGATTTAAATGTATTATTACACCGTAAATAACTTTCTTAAAAATTAAATTCTAAAAAAATTAGTTTAGGTGTTTTAAAGAACCATTTTATCCGTAATTCCAAAATGGTGTAATTCTTAGTTACATTGGACCATGCCTGGTCAATAGACCATTTCCATATTGAAAGTAACATCTGCGTTAGCGGTCTGTCCTAAAATCCTGTTCATCTTGATCAGATCATACTAATAAAAATATATTCGTATCTCCTTCGCAAGATGCAACAATCATTACTGGTTACTTGTAGGTAGCTATTACATAACAATACGTAATTCTTATTAGCACTCCGAACGCAAGGTTGCTTTAATTCTTGATGTAATTGGTATATTTTATCTATGCGTTTAGAAACTGAGGTTAAATTTAATCTTCCTTTATACAAAGGAGATTTAATATTATTATTTTTTCTATAATAGTCAGTCGACTATTATGTGTTATGGCAATACTGGATGTACAAATGCTGCCATATTTCGCGGCAAAACAATTTCATTTAATTATCCCACCGAAATATAGAACAGGGTTGACGATATTGAATTTACAAAACAAATTAATAGAATATGAAGATCTATTACACGTCCAAGTACGTTTTACAATGGAAAAGAAAGAAGATGATGTAGATAGCACGCTATACCCCGTTCTGTCAAAGTCTTCATTTGATGTAGGCAGCACCCAAATCTCCTCTAAGAACGGAATATTAAAATAAACAATAAAAACGTATAATCCTCGTCATAAAGTGTTTGTTGTTTCATCATATTGCATTACCATAGTGTGAAATTGAATCTAAATTTGTCGTAGTACATATCCCCACAGGACAATACAGAGGCAACATACTAAACCTTCCATTTGACCTGACCACGATTGCTAAAAAGCGCTGAAAACGTTATATGAACCAAACTGTACTGGAGCAAATAGAGTATTTTTTTTCTTGAACTCTGAGGATAGTTTTATGGGGAGAAAAGTTGGTTTTTATTCCGGACAACACTCTCTATGTTCCATATATTGGTATGTAGCTACTTAAAAGGCTTTTCCCTTTCTCGAGATTTTATTCCCTCTGTGCACATTGGTGAACCTCCGGTAAGAGAGTCGCACGCTGAAGCCCTTAGGCCTACACTGCTGTGAAGAATATCCATGCTAAGTTATATCTTACTCGTAGAAGAGATATTCCTATAAATTTATAAATTTACATAATTGTTACTGCGTTTGCTATTTCGAAATACTTTTATACTTTGTTACCTGCACGTGATCTCACCCAGTTTGAAACGAGTTTTTAATTTATTCCTTCCTGTAACATAAATGTTTATAATTCAATGTAAGACAAATTAACTCTCAACTATACTTAAATATCAATGCGATAAAAGCATTTTTTAATGTCGCGTACGAAAACAGCACATACATAGAATGGTAATGTATTGTAAAATATATCATAGCACAATGTAATAGAGACGCTATTTGTAAATCACGAGAATTGAATCAATCCTAATACTTTATCTATCTAATTGATTGTTTTTAGTTAATCCAACGTCCTATCAATCTGGCGTCGATAACAATGCTACAAAAATAGTAAAAGTAAGTGGGAAGCATTTTTTTATGAAAATTAAATGCCCCGCGCGGGACAGGCTTTTCCCCGCTTTTTGGGGTTAACTCAATCGTCACTCAAGACACCACTGCCATGCACAGAAATGGTACCAGCTCTTTCAACAGTTACCAAAAAAAGATAGCGTTCGTCATCTTTATTAAAGAGAAAGAGGAAACTTTAAAATAAGTTAAATCTTTTCAAAAATACCAAGAATAAGTAATTCTTATAAAAATTTATTCTCTTATATTTGCAATTCTCATTCCTCAGAGATCTGACTATTGTTTGAAACGCCATATTTTTCTAATAATAATTTTTCGGTTTTGATTTTTTTTATTAAGAAGGCAAGTATTTAGCGATACTTGCAAAGTCAAAGTCAAAGTCAAATCGTTTATTTCAATTAGACCATCTAAAATGGCACTTTTTGCCTTGCGGGTATCTGATTTAAAATATCACCTTTAGTTATTATGTCCCGCTTTCGACGAAAGATTCCCGCTTTTTTAACTCAAAAAGTTCCAAAATCCCGACTTGGCAATAAAAAATCTGGCAACCAGCGTTGGAAGGCACAGAAAACATTCTCATTCTTGACGTTGTCCGTCGGTTCACAACTGAGCGTTTCTTAAGGCACTTTTTGCCGCGCAACACCACTATGTTGAACCAGCTACCGACTAAAGTATTTCCGAACCAATTCGAATTGGGTCCTACAAGAAAAGAGCGTACCAATTCTTAAAAGGCTGGCAACGCACTTGCTAGCCTTCTGGCAATGTGAGTGTCCATGGGCGGCGGTACAATTTAAATTCAGGTGAGCCTTCTGCCTGTTTGCCTCCTATTACATAAAAAACGCGTAGTTATCAGTTTCGATGTCTCGACCTATGTCAATCTCAGCGTTATTCAAAATCGCTGCCAGGGTAAAACCAAAATGTGCCGAAACGGGCAGTAAAACTCGATTAAAAGTTCAGCTGAAAGATTAAATGGATTTTAATAAGATTCATTGCGTATTATTTACGATCTGTTATCAGGTCAGTAGAGAAGTCAAGCATATGTGTAAATTATGTAAATAATTTGGCCATTGTTGACATAACTCTAAGCTAGTGGATTTAAATAATAACTGACCTAACCTTTCTTAAAATAAATGTACATTGGGTAACATTTAACATTCAGTATTCTTGTACTTTACTGGGTCTTCAGTATTGTAACTTTTTATCTATAATGGGCTGTATAGTTTTCATTTCTCACCGAGATTTCTGATAAATGTCGAATTTAAATTTGTGATTTTTAAGTCAATCGCCGATACTCTCTTAAGCATTATTACATTGATATACTTGATCTATATCTATTTAAACCCCTGAACCAGGAATTGTACAATAATAATGTTTACTAGAAAAGAAGAAAATATAAGAAATAACTTTATTATACATAATAAAAAAATATGTTTAGTTAAAAAAGAATGTCGTGAGCATCTTGTCTCTTCCATTTGACCTATAAACGGTACTCGACAAAACAATTATTTCTACACAACACTTATAATATTCTCAATTAAACTACTGATGCAGAATAAAAATGTTTTACGTTTCAGCAGGATAGGTGAAGATGTTCTTTAAGATTGTTAGTGAATGTATAAAGTTTTGAATTGTTAGTGAAAATTTTGCATTTAAGAACGGGGTAGAGATGTCCCTACTAATATTACACAAACAAAATCTTCCCAATATATACATAACAAATATATAATACTAGCTGCCCCCGCGAACTTTGTTTCTCCTTAATGTAATTTTACTTAGCCTACCTTTTTAGTACATGCCAACATGGAACATTTGCTATGCCCAGAGACTGTTCGGTTTTCTGGAATGAAAACTTTTGAGGTTTTTCTGTGAATTTTTCTCAATAAAACCACTGAGTTCAAGTCATAAGATAATTAACAAATAAAAATGGGGGTTGATCGTAGAGGGGTGAAAATTATGTATGCTGTATATCATTAAAAAAAAAAACTAAAAAATTGTCAAAAAAATAAAAAAATTTTTGGGGTGGACACCCTTTATCACTTAAGGGTTTGAAAGATAGATAGTAACCAATATGTACGATATGATCAGACTTACTGAATATGCATAAAAAAATTCATAAGAAACGGTCGAGCCGTTTCGTAGGATTATGGGAACGAACACGAGAATTTTGTATATCTAATAGAGATACAATAATGAACTAACAAAATATAAATTTATTTACAGGACTGACGAGCAAGGCATCACGATGAAGGTGTACCAGGGCGTTATGATGGCGCTAGAGATTTTAGTTCTGATTGTGAAGCTGTATGCGACCTGGTTCTACTGCCTCTACCGCTTCTTTGTACCGCCAGAACCTAAGAGTGTTAATGGGGAAATTGTGTTGGTGAGTTGTTTTTTGTTTGTAGTAAAACTGATATATTTTTCGGATCGCCTATCCGTTTACAGGTGGGGCTAAAACCATTGATTGAACTATTGAAACTATAAACTATTGGTGTTATGACTTTCTTGGGTTCTTCTTCTTTTCTGTAATCCTTTTGTAATATGTATATATCATTGTAAACTTATTAATTATAAGCATATTTGTGCACGCATCCAATTATCGTGACCACACCTTGGTTATAATTTGTATAACTTGTTTCCTTTTTTTGAGACGTATACTTATGGATTTTTGGTTTAATACAAGTCCGGTTGTTCACGGCTCAATCATCAAATGTGTTTGTGGAGAAAATGAATGTATGTTCCTATTCGCGGGAAATAGATCAAAATTCTACGTTAACTTTACTCCTTCATAGAAATAATAATATACTCATTACAGCAAAAATAACCCGCAAATTTTTACAAGATAAAAAAACTGTATTCAACAGTGTACCAGGATGAATCGATCATGAGTTGAAGTAAACATAATAAAAATGATAATTCGTTTTTTAGAAAGTGATTCAGATAAATTACAAAATGTCATATAATGAAGTCCATAAGAACAGTTAAGATATTTATAATTGTTGTCAAAACTTATGGTCTACTTTTCTTTATTATAACATACATATGTACCGAAGCGTTGAATATGTAGATATATTTTTATATATCACTGACGACCGACTACAGCATTGCATATCCTCAATTTATCAATTGATGCTGCTGCAGTAGGCCACTAAGCCAGTAAGATGTTTCTTTTATTCCCGATTATTCAATGTTCTTTATTCTCAGTCGAGTATGCTCCGATTTGTAAAACTTGACGAAAAACTTATTACTTTAATGGTGCATAACGCAAATTTGGTACTTTTATTGTATTTTACAATTTTAATGTATTTAGTAACAAAGACAAAAGGACCAGCTTATAAAAATATAATCCAACGCAAATAATTGTAATCAACGAACTTACCTAATTTACAAATGAATAAAGGATATGTTTATGACTATGTGCCACCGTTTGTCGAAATCCAATACTTTTTTGACAGTCGAGAGTCACATTTTAGTTAAGTCTCGTTACTGAAATTAACCTAAAACCAATCAAGAAGATCAAGATCTTTCGTTACTAAACTTAGTAACTCAACTACAAAGTTTCAGTGTTTTAAGGAAGACAGCGAATTACCTATAGTATGAGTTTGCGGACAATCATTGGACATTGTAAAAAGGCAATTATATTTTTATATATAAGCTGCTCTTTTGTTATCACTAAATTCACACACTTAAGAAATATCATAACATTTCCATACAATTAATTGTACATAATTAAATTTTAAGGTATTAAGTTATTAAATTTAAATTGATACACGTTCATAATTTAGAAACGTATTAAAAGTGACATACGTACCTACAAAATAATACAATACTTCGTATTTGTAAACGAAATACGAAGTTATGGACCGAAATGAATGAACGACGAACTTTATATTTACAGGTAAACACTTCGGATCCGAATTCCATTTCGTTTCGGATATGAAGAAATTGCAAAATGATTATTTAAATGACATCCTTAATTCCTAAGTGCGCACTTTGATCTCGGACATGTAAACCTTTTTTAAGTTATTTTCGTTATTTATTAGTGTCCGGAGATATTTTGGTGTATTTCATCACTGATGCAAACTAGCTGCTGTGGTCTCTGGCAGAATGACCAGCGCTGTGGATAATGCTAAGCCAGGGCCAATAACAGCCACAGCACACACGCATTACACACTTGAAACGAACCGAGTGGGATAATAAAAAAACATTATGGGGCATCCACACGCTGGCTGTTTGTCACAAACACCGCAAAAAGCAAACGAAGTCCCAAACACCAACCACAATCACCCAACACAAACAGCCATCCACATGCTTGGCGAACGTTCATAACATTCCGAATCGGCAAACATGGCGGACGACGGGCTTGTTGCAGCTATTACTTTCGGGTTGACATATTTTTATTATAAATTAAAGCAAGAGAAAGAAAAAAGGAAAAAAGAAGAAAGCAAAGACGATGGTGGATGATTAAAATACATAGAAAGCGTACAAGGCTTTAGACCTATTATTTGAGCTTTACTTTGCCGTGTTTTTTTTAAATTTACTTAAAAGTTACTTAAAAATGTCAGAATAGTAGGTGCTCCAATCAGACATTTTTTACGCTTTGCGCGCCAACGAAAGTGTAGCAAGTAAATACGTCCGCCTCCCGCAAGCTCGCGCGCATACTGATCGCTGCCAAACGTGTGGATACGTAGCAAACTGTTTGCCAAACATCCTTTGATCTGGCAAGATAAACCGACACCGATGCCGAACACTGCCCAACACGAACACAAACAGGCAAACAACGACAAACACCCATCCACACGTCCGTGTTTGCTGTTTGCTGTTAGCTGTTTGCCATTGTTTGTCAAGCGTGTGGATGGGCTTTTATATTTTTTAATTATTTTTTTCTCTGGTTATTGTTATTTTGTGTTTTTGTTTGTAATAAATGATATGTCTATGTACTTAAGAGGAATATGCTAAGCAAACTAGCTGGTTTTGCCTGCGACGGACGTTTTTAATTTATTTTAATTTTTCAATTAAAATCAAGTACTGAGCGTATAGCAAAAACCGCGCTGTATAGATTTATATATATCACTGCATATATTAAGGAAATCTCATTTGAGCAATATCTGAAGGTCCTTTTGTAATCAATTGGTTTCGAATACGTAACCATGAGAAGGAAAACTACTTTCGATCTGTTTCTTTACTTCTTTTATGAGTCTAGACTGGTCTCACTCGAGCCGTTATTTAGAAACCAAATGTCTAGTGATGTAAAGCCACACTCAGAGTCATTCCATAAGAGTCAACATTGACTTAATGATTACAAGCTTTTCATAAATAATTTGGAAATGAAAACGGTTTTGCTAGCCTATGTTACTGCTTCATAGCCGCTCTTTAGGAGTTTACGATTACTTAAATTTAAAATTTAAATTAAGTTGGTTGGTTGTCTGAGTAACGTTCTTTATACATAAGTAATAAAGACAAAGACTCAGCACGGCCGCTAATATTATTTATTGACGTTTTTATTACACACCTTTATAACAATTATCATAACAAAGTTTACAAAAGAAAGAAGAAAAGAGATGAATTAGATATAAGATACAAACAAATGTACCGGCTGATAGGAAGGCAATCGCCCCTGTCAATCATAACAAATTGATTCTTTATAAACAAGTGATAATGCCTGTGGCATTCAGCTGTGGGGCTGTACTGCGAAGAGCAATTTAGAAATGAAATGAAAGTATCCACAATGAATATGAAAGGATCTTAATTTGGATAAAAAAATCAGTGGCGCTACAACCTCTTTAGGTCTGGGCCTCAGATTTCTGAATCTGTTTCATGATAATTTTTAATCTAATAGGCAAGTAGGTGATCAGCCTCCAGTGTCTGACACACGCTGTCGACATTTTGGGTCTAAGACATGTCGGTTTCCTCACGGTGTTTTCCTTCACCTTTCGAGCGAATATTAAATGCGCACGTAGAATGAAAGTCCATTGGTTCACAGCCGGGGATCGAACCTACGACTTCAGGGATGAGAGTCACATGCTGAAGCCACTAGGCCAACACTGCTTTTATGGATACAGTCCTAATTACGGCGAAAGGGTTTGCCTTTGCTCACTTAAACAAGCTACATAGGAATGTGAATGCTAAGACAATGCAACTTCTTGACACAACAGGAATAAGACGCCTAAAAAACTAAACTTTTTGAGTTAATAAACCTAGTTTAGTGAAAATGAAAGTGCGGCATCTCGGACACACGAACATAGTGTCAACATTATTGAACACTAAGACTGTTAATTCAGGCTCTTCACTACTGTAGAAAATTAAGTCAACAATACTTATTAGCCATAATTATTGTACATAGGCTAGATTGTAATTCATGTAAAGTCTCTCTCTTTTTCTCTCTTTTGTGCACTTTATTGTAGGAAAAAATATAAACATGATAGTGTTTAAAAGAGCAGTGTTAGCCTAGTAACTTTAGCGTGTGACTTATCCCTGAGGTCATCGGATCGAAAAATGTGTAGTCGACACACCAATGAACTTAGTGTCTATGTGCGCGTGTCGGGCACATAAGGGTGATCAACAGCTTGATGCATATGATCACGAGACAGATACAGAAATCTGAAGCCCATACCTAAAAGGTTTTTTTGGCGTCATACTTAAGTTAACTGCCTTTTTGCTTTAAGGATTTGAATGGACTGTTATAGTCGGAGCTGATTGGTATCGAAGACCATTAAATGCATTTCTCGTTTCAGATAACTGGAGCAGGCCACGGAATGGGAAGAGAAATGGCGTTGAGGTTCGGCCGCTTAGGAAGTGTCATAGTCTGCGTGGACATCAATCCTAAAGGCAACGAAGAAACTGCCGAAATGGTTAAAGAGAACAAGGGAAAGGCACATACCTATAAGTAAGAAAATCACAATTTAAGCTATGAATGAATTGACTTGAGTTTAGGTACCCCAGGTGGAGCAGAGGGCATCATTCAAAAACCTGATAGGTCTTGGGCAGCTCTCTTAATTTCACTCCACGTCTTTCCAGCTGCCTTCGCCTCCGAATAAAGGTTTCGTTGGGTCTGTTTTAGGCGGCCACGTTTCCTTTTGCTTAGCTTCCAGTCAAAGGCTTGCTGGTGTGATGACAATATGACTTGTCTGGAGCGTAGCCACCCACTTCCACTTTCGGCAACAACGGCACATCATTGCATAGCTCCAATGGCTGATGTTTAGAGATTCTCTCGGGCCAGAATTTGAAAGACTTAAAACTCTATTAATAAATTATAGGAAACAGATTTCTAATTTGAAATGTTATTTAGTGTAAACAAAAAACTTGCCTACACCGCTGAATCTATTGTAATTACAATCAACTTTTATATGACTTTAAATTCCGCAGTCTATAATTATTAAAGATCTGAAGTTTTTTGTATCACTTTAGTCTATATTAGTCTCTTTGCAAGTAGTAGTTTCCATACGAAAACGCAATCATATTTGAGAATCTATCTCACCTACTGACATGAATTTCTACAATCTCTATCACTAAATGTGTTCTTCATCAAATCGACAAAAATCAACCCAAGATTATTCAGTGTTTCAATCATAGTGGCAATAATTTCTTTCAGATGTGACGTAACAGACCGAGAGGCCATTAATCAGCTGATAGAAAAAATTCGTAAGGAAGTCGGAGAAGTCACGATTTTGGTGAATAATGCTGGTATTATGCCATGCAAGCCTCTACTCCAGACCAATGAAAAGGAGATCAGGCTGGCCTTTGAAGTCAACGTTCTCTCGCATCTATGGGTAAAACCTTTTAATAAATATTTAAATACATAGTTTCCACAAGTACTTCTAGTTACCTGTGAGGAAATTAGGTTTGGTAACGTAGGTTTAACTATGTTTAGTAAATAAAAAATGAATTTACAATGAAGTTTTTCTAAGACGTGGTAATTTTTATATCTAAAATGGTACATACATACGAGTATACGTAAGCATAAGAGAATAAGTGTAAGAAAGGTCAACACGTTAAAATTTTGACTTGTTTCTGAATGTCACCAACTAAATCTATATATAGCAGAAAAAAATAAGATTACAACTTTATTTTGTAGAGCAAGCACATAATAATATCAATAAAAACCATTGATTTCAGATACTTTACATTTTAATTCATTTATATTTCCAAATTCAGCCATTTCTGGCTGTTATTTGCTACTCTCTGCAATGTACACTTGATGTTTTCTTAATCTGGTCCCTCTTAATTGTCTTCCTCTTTTGCGTTTATTGTACCTTGAGCACCAATTTAATACTTTGTTGCTCCACCTTTCTGTTCCTCGTTCCTGCTGCGTAAGTTGTTGTTATATCTCGCTTGTGAGTTCGTATTAAACTCCTCATAAACAGCACCATGGGTCCACCATTTCGATGATATTTTTTGTGAGTGAAATTGAGATTCGTATGCATACAATTAGTTGATTTTTTATTAATTATGTAATAATTTAACGTACTTCTAGAGGATTTGTTGCACTACAACTTGATACATGCGTTTTATAACCACTTCTCCTTTACAAGTGGCTTTAGTTAGAATTACTACTGGTTATTTACCGCAGTATGTAATTAATACTCTGTTTACCAAGCACGTGTACAAACCACGTCAAAAGATTCCTTATAACCTACTCAAGTACTTTGCTCTACGAGTGATATTGTGGGTGATTCTGAGTCGAGAATTAGCATTAGCTAATGACTGACGAATGTCAAATCCAATACGTGATACTTAGTCCTAAATAATGCCCTTACATTTCCTTACTGTCGTTACCTTTTTAGGTCTTGGCCTCAGATTTCTGTATCTGTTTCGTGATTTTGTTCTTCATAGGTAAATAGGTGATCAAGCTTCTGTGCCTGACACACACCGTCGACATTTGGACCGTGCGTCCATGCGAGTGTATTCCTTACCGAGTGTTAGTGTGAAAATCCATTGGTTCACAGCCGGGGACCGAATCTACGACCTCAGGATCGGACGCTGAAGCCAAACTTGGTCCTTATAGAAGAGTACCCTGAATTCATTAATAACTAGCGGCCCGTCCTGGCTTCGCACGGGTGGACATTTAATTTTTAAACATTTTATGTAGATATTGATATGTTCATTAATATTGTGGAATTTTTTTTTCTATCATCAATAGTTTTCGCAGCGCATGCGATGAAAGATATTTTATAGGCAGTTTGTTACACCTTAGGTAAAAAACATACATACATACCTTGGGTGACATTATTATAGTTTTGATAGGGATCCTTATTTTTTTATTTCAATTCAAATAGCTTATATTAATCAGTGATCATGTAGCATTCAAATGGTGAAAGAATTTTCAAAATCGGTCCAGTAGTTTTTGAGCCATTTCGTTACAAACATACTTACATACAAATCTTTCCTCTTTATAATATTTGTATAGATTTATAGAGAGATTTAAATGTAATAATAATAATAATTATTATATTATCTTTTAGCTACTCCAAGCTGTGCTACCCTCGATGATGGAGAGAAATCACGGTCACATCGTCGCTATGTCTTCAATGGCTGGAGTCCTTGGTCTCCGTAATCTGGTGCCCTACTGCGGTACCAAGTTCGCAGTCCGCGGAATGATGGAGGCTCTGCATGAGGAACTTAGGGAGGATCCGAGGGACTTCAGTGGAGTAAGTTTAGTTTTTAAAGCGGTAAAGTTCGGTTCAAAAATACTTTTTTCTTTAAGAATTACATACACTTAGCGAGAAAATTTAGGGTAAGTTACTTATGTACATCGTGATATGAAATTATTTGAAAATAAAGTATATAAAATAAAAATATTGGTTTCTAAGACAATACAATATTTTATACAAAAGTGGCATTATGTGACTAATGAATAGTAATATTTTTTTAAGACGCTCATTCACAGACATTAAATAAATGCTAGAAGGGTTTTTTTGATGAAATACATATTTATTCCATTAATGTATATTGAACTTAGGATTTTTACAGACATAGATACCAATAGAATATGTGTGTTTTTATATTTGTTATTTTATAGGTATGTTGTTATATAAGTTACCTTTAAAAGAACCTAGATTGTTATATTGCGATGATAAATAATAATAATATTATATAAGCCTTTGTTTATCCACATTTTTTATATATATATACAAAAAGAAATATATATATACAATTTTATTACATTAGGCCCATGTCCGATTGAGGAATGCTCCATATTTTTATTTTATTTATTACATCTTTTTATTTATTTTTACTTTAAATCCATTAAAGTGGCTTAATATAAACACAACCATACAATACAAATCAGGTGGGTGTTAGTTTTTGTAGTCTACGTTAGTTAATGTTATTTCCATTTCTTCGTGCTCTGCAGTATGGACCTCTTTTGGGTAAAGTCCGTCTCCAGAACTTGTTCTTTGCTTCCATCCATTTCTCCCCAGAACCCTTTATGATGTCGTCAGCCCAACGCTTTTGTTGTGGTCTGTGGACATATAAATTTAAATACACATTTCACAGTCCACTGACTGGCAAGATGCACACTATAATTTTTTTGTGAAATGTGTTTACGCTGTAAAGGAAACATATGATAAGGGAGATTGTAACATCTATTATCTGTGTGTACCCGGCATTAATTTGACGATTTCTGCCTTAGTATTGTCTTTTATTGACATAACTTTTACACATTTAATAAAACAATTTTTAACCGGATTGAAGTTATGTATTTACAATTATTTTACATAATTTTAAATTTAACCGACGTTTCGCGTGCTTTTTCTTTAGCTGTGATACTTTTTGACATTCAACACCTTTTGTCTTCAGTCACCGTGACCACGCACGCGAAACGTCGGTTAAATTTAAAATTATGTAAAATAATTGTAAATACATAACTTCAATCCGATTAAAAATTGTTTTATTAGATTTCTGCCTTCATACAACGGACATAGTGTGTCTGCGTTATAGAAGGTTATACTTCAAATCTGTTAAAATACATAATTTTTCAATTTTCCATTTACAGATTAAACTAACTTGTATCTACCCGTACATCGTTGACACCGGCCTGTGCAAGAACCCGAAAATCAAGTTCCCGTCACTGATGAAGATCATATCACCCCAGGAGGCAGCCGACAACATCGTGGATGCCGTTAGGAGGAACTACTCAGAGATCACAATTCCCAGCTCCTTATTTTATATCAATCAGGTAAGGTCATTTAACTCAAGAACTTAAAATCAAGCCAAATTGATTTCAAGATTTTTTACTCGTCTGGGTCCTTAGACAAATACCTACCTATTTCCTAACATGCCATGTGTCGCTATAGAGTAGATAATGTAACGCTTGTCACAATACTAAAGCTAGGTAACAGTCACAAGTATTTTTTAGAAAATAACTATTAATTAGCCTAAATACAATAATAGTTTAAAATGAAAAAAAAATCTAAACTAATAAGCACATTTATAGAGATTATTTTGTGTTTGATCGATAAAAGACGGTCTCAATTTACATTTTTTTTATACTCAAAACCTTTTGCATGAATATTTGCTATTTAAATTAGGACACCGCGTTTCTATTAAGTTTATTAAAAATAAGTACACCCTTAATATATCAAACCTCATAAGCTTCCACCCCGAACAGTGGTTTTTCCATTCCATTCTGTGTGTCTAATGTAAAGTCCCGTCATATAATACAAATATATTCAATATTTCACATCGTCAATATTTGTAGTCAACGTTGATAAACAGTGCTTCTAGTAACATTATTTTTAAGTTATAATTTACCTTAAAACAATTGACTGAAACAGAAACAACTGCAATTCAATTAATATTTTATGAATAGTAAACACAAGTGTTTTATTATTACTGGGTAATATATCGGAAAACTTACCCGATTTATCTATTTAATAATACAATTTTACTAGCAGCACTGTAATTAATTTGTAACCTAGAACCATAGACAAAATCATTTTGCGTTAAACGTGACCCGCTAACGTCATATTTGTACGACAATAAAACGTCACAAGCCTGATTTAAATCCATACGTGGCCCGATCGTTGTTTTACCAATTACCAAGTATCAATTTTTAGTTTTTATTTTCAGTTTAAGCTGGCCCATAGATAAATGTATAACGCCATTCATATTATCGTCAAATATTAATAACAAAAGTTTTCATTTGTTATTTTCAAGTATGATGGTTGTGCCGATGTTTATACTTTGTTTAAATTTACATTTTTATAGCGGGTAACGCGTGTCAAAAATGATTTTGTCTCGAACCCTTTTCGTTACCTTTATACCTATCCAGTATTATGTTGTACCTTTCCATTTCAGTGGTTCCGAATATTCCCCAGACCCGTGCCCCTGCATTTAAAGGATTTCTTGGATTCTGGACTTGAAGCGCAATAGATTTTATTTCTTATTATATCGACTTCGATGGACAAAATCGTTAAACTAAATGCAAAAGTCTTAAAATGACCTTTGATTAGTTTATTCGAGTACACTCGACTTTAGCGAGTAATTAAATATAAAAACTTATTCACTAAATTAATCTCCTTTCACTGTTGTAACTAATGTCATTTGATGATGTATTAATAGTGGAATTAGATTGATTTATTAATAAGGAAGAATTTGGAATTTAATTAAGCAGCGAATCAATCGAATCGCTATTGGTGTATTTACTTTTAAAAATCGAAAATGAATACAAAAGTTCATAAATTCTAGGTATGAGAGAAAAATCTACCATAGGCAATATATCTAAGTTAATTTTAGAAATTACTTCTAACTAGTTCATTGGATACATGTACCAGCAGTTTAATAGATAGAGACACAAAGGATTTGGTTTTTTGATATAAGCGACTCTCAAGGTTAAAACATGGATGTCCAATGGATTTTTCTATGTATGCGAGCAACACTCAAAAGTTTAAGGCAAATATCATCCAAAAATGTACGACACATACAGAAGGTTTCTCTCTTGTCTATAAAAAAATATCAAAGACACGAATGCAATCTGATACTAAGCCCCATAAAGGGTTATAGCGCTACTAGATTATTAATTTAAAATACTGCAATAGTAGTAGATAGCAGGTATTTCGTACTCGTACTGCGTATAGACCAATTGGGTACACCCAACATTAATAGAAAATTAACTTAAAAATCATTTACAGTGGTGCAGATTATTACCAGTAACCGTGCCGCTGCAAATTAAGGACTTTTTGGACTCGGGGCTCGAACCTCAATAAATGTAGGTACAGTCTCAAATTATATTGTGGTCGCTTCATGTAGCTGTACACCTTTGTATCCAGGTCTTCATTTAGTGTCATTTTATCAAGAGTACTCGCTTCATAGTTATTTCCAGATCATCTTTGTGGGCTGAATGTCTGGCATATAACATACACCAAATCTTTGTATGTCTTTGTATGTTATCTTCGTTATGGAAACGAACGATTATGGGAAAATACTTTTTAAGATATAATCATGATTTATTTCAAAGGTTTTGTTCAGGAGAAGCCAACCGATTTCCAAACCTGAAGAGGATCCGATTTTATATTTCTTTACCATATAAGACGAGTGTGATAAGCAGATGTTAAATAAAGTAGCTTAAGAAATGTCTCTCAAGTTTACTGCTTCTGACAATTTTCTTGTATTTAAAATTGCCATATTGAAACAATGTTAAAGTGTGAAGTGTCAACTCTTTAGCCAAGAATACTTTGCGTCTAACGTTACCGTAAATAGGTTTGCATAGCGGGTCACGCTAGACGCAAAGTATTTTGTCTAGAGTCCCAGATCTTCTAATATATTTGAACAATACAGCCAATAAATAGGAACACTCGAAACAACTTAATTCACAGATAAAACTAAATGTCCAAACCCAATAGAAATTAAGAATATCTTATAATGTTGCGAAGTGAGATGGGTAATTAAGACTTTTAAAGAGAAATATTATGTACAATATGTTTCTGATTATTGGTTAATGTTATTAAATAAATATTCAATGATAATTGATATCCAAACTTAATGCTTAAAGTAATATTGTAATAATACTGCTGGTAGTCGACATAATTTAAGGGTAATGTTTGTGCCTTAAGTTGTGTACTGAACATGACAATATATTTATCTGTAAGTTTTGTGAATTTTGTACTTTTATACTAAACATATTTAAATTTGATATTGTATATTGGGATTCGCTAAAAAATAGTACTTATATGTCAATGACAATTAAATGGCTTTATATTCAGACAGATCTCTATATGATGTCGAAAAAAACAAAAGCTTGCGACACTCTGATGTCGTAGGTTTGATCTTCTCCTGTAGACTCCTTCTCCGTACGGTAAAGGAAAATATAGAGAAGAAATCGGCCATGCTGTAGACCCAAAAAGTCGACGGCGTGTGTCGTGCTAATCACATACTTGCTTATTAGAAAAAAACGGAGACCCAGATCTAAAAGGTTGTCACGAAACATTGCACCAGTTTTATTGAATTTAAAAAGACGCGTAATGCTGATTTTTGTGTAACGCTGAGTGATCTAAGATAACGCTGACATCTGAGCACTGACAATCGCTGACGCTCGCCACTGCTCGGTGCTGAAAATCAGCCATGTTTTGCCCATATTAGAAAACCGAATATTCTGAAACTCATTATGGAGAGTCTGTTTGAATGTAACAAAAATAATGCTTTTAAATTTAGTTGTTATTGGCGTAAATAAATGAAAGCATATTTAAACTCCAGATTATTTAGGTAAAGCAATTTTCGAGATTTTATACAAATATTTTTATTAATAACTTGCTTACAGTGCCATTATAGTATGTCAAAGTTAAAAATAGTGAATTGTTTAATTTCAACTTAGAAAATAAACTAATTCACTAATTTTCATTACATAATTTATTACGTAATATATATTACGTTTTTAAATATATAAGATTTATTCAAATTAGCTTCTCAGGTCTTGTGAGACAAATTAATAAGTTTTTTGGTACAATATTATAACTAGTAATTTAAAAGTTAAATATTTGCTAAAATATATTTATATAATAAAAATATGGACTGTTCCTTTTATTATTATACATTTATTTATGTGCTATCGAAAACATTTGGGCTGTTGTATTTAAAATATGTTGAAGATGTTTATATTTTTTGAAGGTTTCATAATATATTCGTGAAATTGTGATATGCTGTATAGAAATAAATATTATAATGCATGAAATCGTTTTATTACAATCTTTTTTTTATCTTCAGTATTAATAGGAAATGCTGCCAACATAAAATAAACAATGCCACATGGACCAAACATTGAAATTTATTTTAGTTTTTATCCATTTTTATATCATTTTATACATAATAAATGTAGGTTGAAAATATGTATAATAAAATTAATAAAATAATAAAATTTAAAAAAAATATATCCTACTAATATTACAAACGCGAAAGTTTGTAAGTATGGATGGATGTTTGTTACTCTTTCACGTAAAAAGTACTGGATTTTAATGAAACTTTACAATAATATACATCAGAATAACACATTGGCTACAATTTATAAAGATATTGTGTTAATTGTCCAAAATATCAAGTAAGTAATAAAAAATCTACCATCTGCGAGCTAAACCGCTAGAGTTACACATATGTAATGTATGATGAATGTTATCTTAAATAGTCAATATCTTTAGTAGTTTTTTCATACGCCACACTAATATAAGCTACTGGAAGTACTAATCCTGCGCAGACGAAGTCGCGGGCACCAGCTAGTATTTAATAATTACTAGACATATACCTGTCGCACAAGATAACGAAATTGGACACAGACCTTGCCTGAAAGGTTTCAGCGTCAAAAAGAAAATGTGATACGGGTCTGGCGAGCAATTGCGCCCCGGCTCGCCCATGAATGTTGTTAATAATAATATTAACGATGTAGCCGGGACGTATCTCGCGCAACACAAATGAGTCTGATTTTATTTTATGTACAACCACTCTTACTAAATGTAAGAAATATGTATACAAGAAAAATAAGAAAACAGAAAAAGAAGAGATAACAGATGCAAAAAATCCCTGGGCACTATGGCAGGGGCCAAAAAATTTAGTGTAACATTTTTTCGTTACGCGTCACATTTTTCGGTTACGCGCCATGTTGCTGCTTTTTGAAGTCAAACTTCTTTATCGGCGTTGGAATGAAACTTCTTTATTGACGTATGGGAGAAATTTTGTAGCAAATCGTCACGTTTTTCAATGATAGTAATAATTCTATTACAATTAATGAAATTCTATAATAATCTTCGTAGTAATAAGGTAAAATGAAATATTTGTATTCATGTCAATGATAATAAAAGCCTTTTGTTAAACTTTATCTAATTTAACGAATTTCTGTAAAGTTGCAAATAGTAGATCATTTTTCGAAAAATAAGATTATAAAGAATTTTCACTTCTTACGTGTGTACACCTAGTACACGCACAATTTCTTATTTTTGTACTCAGCTGGTAAGTGCTCTGCTAACTTTACAGACAACTTTCGTACGAAATAAAATATTTTTTTTGTGAATTATGACTTACATATTTTCAAGGTATAAGTTGTGAAGTTTTTGCCGCCTTTGCCTACAATTGCCATATCCTAGATTTTTTTACAATCCAACAATTTCGTTGAAATTGCAAGATAAATAATTTCTGTATCTGATTTCAGAGCACAAAATTATACACAAACCGTTCAGCTCCCAGCCTCCAATCAGTAGTAGGACTGACATGTATGGGTTAATTAGGGGAAGATGGAAACATATTTTCTGCAATTTAGCTCTTTTCACTCATACAAAGAGTGAGCTGAGGGCGCAGAAGTCGATTACTGGTTGGGGGGGCGGCGAACTAGCTGTTTACTCCAGACTATTTAAGTTTGCTACACTGAATTTGCTATGACAAGATGGAAAAGTCATCGGCAATTTGGTTGCAGACTTCTATCTGTTAGAAAACCGTCAGACATCTTTTTTGATTTGTTTGAGGTAGCAAAAAATATTAGTTTCCCAAATTTGCCACCCCAAACATCTCAGCCTGCAGGTAAACCAACCACCGCCACTCCCACTCCACGTGATAGATATTCAAAGTACTTGTCCATTTTCTTTCTAAATTACTTTTGTCAAGCGAACTCAAAATGGAATTAAACAAATTCATTTTTGTACTATTTATTGAATAAACATTTATGATAAGGTATACATTTGATATAAGCTTAACTACAGTAAGGGAGCGTTCAAGTATTACGTAACGAATTTTGAGGGGGAGTCCTTTTGTAAACGTTACGATGCGCGGCGGGGATTGAATTACGCGTTATTGTAAATATTATTTTCGACTTTCAAGTACTTTACACTACATAATGGTAACTTTTAGGTATTAACAGTCACTGGATGGTCACGAAACGTTTTACTATTAGGTACAGAAAAACGTTACGGCGCGTTACATGGGGGGGTCAATAATCTCCAAAAATTGCGTGACGTAATACTTGAACGCTGCCTAAACTACTTTACTACATAATATCTTTTTAAACATTTTCTAACAGAATTTACATGTATACTTAAGCGTATGAAAATATATATAATATTTATATAGTATTATATATTTATTTTATTAATACAACTGTGTATAAGAATTTAAATGCATTTTTTATTTAAAAAACATTAAACTAAAATTATGATTTCCTACATGCGCTATATTTATAACTATAATAATTATTACTTAAATAATTGACACCCTTTATATTTAACGATGCCTTCTCTTAATCAACAAATTAATAATAATTTTAAATATTTTTTTTTGAGAGTGAAATTTTACGATGCGCGCGCACCGTAACACAAAATTATCAGTATGGCCGCCGAGCGTGCGCAAGCGAGATGGGAATAAGACAATCTACAAGTAAAAAGAAATAGAATATGCGTGACGTTAGCAGCTATGCCAAGAATTTTGAATGACCATAATGACATTTACCTTTTAAACAAATAAAGGAGTTTTAATTATTTTTTCAAAGAAATTTAGCAATGCTTTTTCACAAAGACCTATTGTTACTTAGTTAAAAGGTTATGAAACCTACCTAGTTATTAAATTGAATTAATAATATAATAAAATAATAAATAATAATAATTATTAATTAATAATTGAATAATATACTAAATATTAAATATTGTTTAATTATTAACGCTAAATATTTATTATTTAATATTTAAAAAAATAAAGAAAGCCAAAGAAGTATAACTTCTTACGCGCGTACATAAGTACACGCACCCTTTTCTTTTTTAAAATAAAATTTGGTCATCGTTTTCAGATTGACTATGGATAACGCTACGTTAGCTGTGCAAATTTGAATTTAAAAAAAAAGGTGCGGCTACATGGCTTTTTTTAGTCTACTAGATTAATTTTATTATTGATGCTTAACTGATGTTCTCTGCACATTTGATACTTGGGTCTTCAGAAACGAGACTAAGTTAAGTCTGATAGTTTTCTTTTATTAAACACGGGTACACAGGCTCACCTGATGTTAAGTGATGGACATGGACACTCTCAACCCCAGAGGGCTCGCGAGTGTGTTGCCGGCCTTTAAAATTGTACTGTTTCATAAATTCTGACACTCAACTTTATTTACTATAAATAATGAAGTTTTAATGATAACGGTAAAATTTGAAAGAGAAACAGAATAGAGGAAAAAAAGGAAGAATTGAGAAATTCAAATTCAAGTCATTTACGGAATTCTAGTTTTCACTAGTCTCGTTTCTGAATCTCACCCTTACTTCCGAGTCGCCATTGGTATCATTTAATTAAAAAGCGATTTCATTGATCAATATTTGTATAACCATACGAAAGGTACCTTCGAGAACTAGTAGCTTAGCCATTATGGTAAGGTATTAATTTTACTCAAAAGAATAAAATTTACAAAATGATTTAATTTAATTTAAATCATAATAAACAAGTTGTTGATATCTCTAATCATTACTACACACGCTTATCAATGAAATTTGACTACATACGAATCACATTTCTAGTTACATAGACACATTTAACATATATAAATAAAATTGTTGCTGAACTTTATATATTCGCCTGGGTAAACATTTTTTCGTCATCATATTTTTAAGCTATTGCATAGCTTCTATCGCGGGCCTCGAGCGTGGAGACCGAATCCAGAAATTCCGTAACGAAAAAAACCTTGCGCGTTAGAGCGGGACAGAACGCATACTGCATATTCACATCTCTCTGACGAGATCAGTGCAGCCGGTGCGCGTTAGAGTGAGACAGACTATATAGGCGAGTTAGTCTGAGTCTGGTAGAGTGGTAGATTGAATTAATTTATCACAGAAAAAACTTAAATTAATATCAAAGAAAAAAAATACTGCATAAATAAATAATTATAATTGCACAAGTTGAAAAAAAAATGCAATAGCTTTACCGCGGCATTCCCCGAGTGCCACACGTTGTTTTTTTATTATTTTTCCTCAGCAGGCGTGTTTTTGGATAATTTTACCCAATTCTTTTGTAAATCAGTATTTATATTTAATAATTTGTAGTGTGCCAAAAAATAAATGGGTTTCTATTGTGCATTAACATCACAGACTATATAATAATTAGATAAAGATTAAATTTAATTACATTAAAGCTACCAAACAATGTTCTAATATTATTCTTATAAATTATATTATTTCCAAGCGATAACTGGAAGCTCTTTGAAATAAAATACTTTTTAATATCGCTTATAAAGTATTGAGCATTAATAAAACTAAGAGGTTAAGCCCTTATAAAAGTCAGTACAAACACCAGAAACGATCTGTCACTTTTTATCATGACGTAAATGCAATAAGAGGGAAAGAGACACGGTTTTGTTGCCGTATGTTTGAGTGAGTGCCATGTCTTAGTGGAGTTTAAGGAAGGAAGTTCGTTCGTCGTAAAGCTGGAGATAAAAATAATCTTAATTTAAAATATATCGACATCTTTCAGGTGTTGGTAGTTCCTATCCCAATAGCCGCCGTTGTAAAGCCAATCTTCCTGTTTGGTATATGGGTTTGTGCCTTGGCTAAACCACCTGGGAAATATAAATGTTATATATTACTATCAAAGTATGTATTGCGATACTTATTCGTTGAGCGAGAAAAGTGCCAGCTCTGGGGTCATCGGTACTATCTACCAGGCGCCAACTTAAATCTTTAATTTTACAAAAAAATCAATGGCGCTACAACCTTTTTAGGTCTGGGCCTCAGATTTCTGTATCTGTTTCATAATAATTTGGTAATCTAATAGGTAAGTAGGTGATCAGCCTTCTGTGCCTGACGCACGCCATTGACTTTTTGGGTTTAGGGCAAGCCGGTGTCCTCACGATGGTTTCCTTCACCGTTCGAGCGAATGTTAAATGGGTACAAAAAAAGAAAGTCCATTGGTGCACAGCCGGGGATCGAACCTAGGACCTCAGGGATGAGAGTCGCACGCTGAAGCTACTAGGCCAACACTGCTCCATATCTTTAATTAGCCAACTTAAATCTTTAACTTTCCCAAAACCTAAGAGTCTACTCCAAAGGGAACAAAATCAGAGTTGGAGGAAAGACTCCGTTATTTAAGTCGTTTATTATTCACGGCCTGCTATGCGGCCGCGCCAGCAAAAAAAAATACATTTGTCTATGACTACGAAAACTTTTGACAGTCACTGTAAATGGGAGTTGTCTTTGGTAGTGAGAAGTGTTAGCCTAGTCGCTTAAGCGTACAACCCTGAGGTCTTGTGTCGAATCACGACTATGCTACGGTGAAGACAATCATTGTGATGAATCAGGCTTGTCTTAGACCTAAAAATCGAAGACATGTGTCAGACACTGAAGGCTGATGACTGATGACCGACTTGCTAAGACCCATGTAGGGTTTACTGTATTGGTACTGGATTCTTATTAAGTATGTCTTTGGCATATTAATATCGAGCCTCTTCATCATCACTACATTTTTTTGTTCTATTTGTAACAGGACTAACCTTATGTGCCCATGGACACTCACATTGCCAGAAGGCTCGCAAGTGCGTTACCGGTCTTTTAATAATTCTTTGAAAATAGAATTCGAATATAATCGTAACATACTCTATTTAAAATAACCTTTGGCATTAGTATTTTGAAAATAGAACACTTTAACTTTAACTCACCTGGGTTGCCAAGCTTCTGGCGATTTCTTCAACAACTTCCTCGCTGTCCTCTGCTTCTCCTCCAATCTGGTCTTCTCAGCAGCGGCACCATCTATATCACCTTGTTCCAATAGTCGTACGTCCGGTCGAAGCCGGCTGTCAGTCGGACACAATTGTCCTTTCATATCACGCTCCAATTCATTTAAGGACATTGCAAATTCCGTGAATTGGTAAAACTGAAAAATATTTGCAGAATTAACTATGGTTTTGTTTGGAAACACTAGGTTTTTGGTCTCGCAACTGAGTAATTTTATGTGATCAAGAATCTTGCTTGTACTCTTAGTATGAATATAAGCGACTTTTAGGTCTCATGACGCTGATAAGAGATAAAGCTTTTCAAAGGCGCCCTACTGAGAGGTTGACAAATGCTTAAGTTTTTAATATTACACATTATCATTGTAATAAGTAATTTATTCAGTAAGAATACACTTTAGCGATCTGTTTAAGATATCACAACTTCATGGACTAATAAATCCGGGCACATCTAAGAGCATACGTTTTTTATTTCCGACGCCAAAACTTTTTTTGGCCAACGCTTTCTTTATAATAAAATCTCCTATGGCTTTCGAGATAGCCAAACTACCCAGATATAAACTGACACAACGCGTGAAAACTATGAATTGGATTTTTATTTTGCAGAGGATTTTTTTTTACATATTTGGTCATGACTCTGAGTTCCAACCACGGAATTGTAATCTAGTTACCCACAACACGGGACTCCAAACGTGGGGACTAGCGTAAGATCAATTTGCCACAACCATATTTCTGTCATGAATAATATTTTATTATTATTAATTATCATCGATTGTTGTATGGCCAGAATTTGCTCTCAAAACGTTATGGAATACATGGAATATGATAAGATGGTTTAATTGTAAAAACACTAAAATAGATATCAGCATAGTAGGGGAAGATCGTTACCATTCGTACGCGGGGCACATTCATGAACGAAACAAAGAACAGTCTTGCTTTTGTATGTGTGCATGAGTCGAGGTACCAACTTTACATCAACGAAGTTTTGTGAAATTCGCACCGATGAGAGTGAAGTTACAGGCATGGACGTGTTTTCGCGCTCGGTAAGTAATTTTTTGATCAATGTTTTTGTCTCTTGTTACCGTAGATAAAATAAGTTTTCGAGTAGAGTATTCTATCAGAACTTGCAAAATATACTTAAGATACGTCTCCAATACTTAATTTATGATGTTTTCCTATTAATATTTAAATAAGTTATATTTTGTTGTTATTCAGTTTGTGGGGTACTTTCGGACAGCACTAGATGGGGCACATTTGAACGAATTGTACTACTAAATTTGTATGAAAATTTGTCGACACGAACTGACATTTTCATACAAATTAAGTTTTTGACTTTCTACATACACTACTGTTAAGGCATCTTGACTAAACCCTCTGGTAGGTAGGTACGATTGTGTTAGTGTGTTAATTACTAATTTTTGCATTAAGCAACACAGGACAAAGGTCCTGTGTTGCTATTTTTGCCTTCGTCGACGTAAATATATATTAATACCTATTTCTTATTATCTTTATTTAGGTTGATTTTGATGCTTGTTAACCAGATGCTTTGAATAATTTACCAATCCATCAAATAGTAGTTCCTTCGAAGTCAGTTTTGACACCAGAGGCATTTCGACCCTATCCGCATATTGTAACAAAGGAATAAAACAAACAAAATGACGACGATGGCCAGGAAAACAACGAATTTATACTGCCACACCCGAAAATAAGAAGTGCTAGTCCGCACCAAAGATCAAGAAATGTGATTCTAAATTTAAGATACATAACTAATTAAATTTTGTATTACATAAGAAAAACTATGTAATTTTTGTTCACTATAAGAAAAGTATTTTATTTTTGTTTAATAGAAATTAAATCTTTATTTTTCTGTTTAATTTCATTGCTAATAAATGAATTTTGATTTATGTGTGTCGTTTTAATCGCACGTACGGAACTACCCCACAGCGTACGAAGGTACCTACCCCCAACACTGTACGAAGGTGCCCCGTTGATGGGGCAGATTTGTACGTTTTTCAGATTTAGTTTAAATCATAATTATGGTTGAACCATCTTTATATGAATCTCAGATAGTTAGACTTTAAATTTAAGCTATCAGGTGATTAATTCATGGAAAAAGAAAAAAATAAAAAAATAAAATGTGAAAACCGTACGAAGGGTCCCGACCTTCCTCTATATATTATAAAACTTAGGTTATTTAGTCATTTTAGTTTAGGTTTTTATTTTTATTTTATTTTAATTTTTGGGTTTGTATGTTTTAATTTTTTCCTTTGGTGTTCCTTTTTCCTTTGGTGACTAATTATGTTCTAATATAATTGTGTATGTGTGTTAAATTTGTGATGTCATATTTTCTTGTATTTTTATAGGCTTGTGTTTTAGAACGTATAAATAAATAAATAGCTTCGATCGAATTTAGAATACTATGACATATAAAGCCTCTTAGCAATAAAATCTACCTGCGCACTGTTCCCAGGTCTTGGACTTGCCTCCCATAGTGTGACGGATCCGGGGATATCAATGTTATAGGATTCGTCTGGCTTTGGCACTTCGTCTGAAGTCTCAGGGTCGTCCTGAAAAGTAACAGCTTAAAACAGACTTAAAAGAATTCCTTTTACAAGCTAAGCTAACTATAAATTCATTCAATCATTTTATTTCTAGGCAAGTAGGTGAACAGCCTTGTGCTCCTCACATCAGTGGGTATGCACAGATTCCGGGTCTTACATAACCCGCCCCAAGCGCCCCCGCGGGGAGTATGCGTAAAGAATTTTTCCAATTAAAGAGACAAGAATATTTAAAAGGATTATAAAGCATATAGATTGTATATGTGTAGGGGTTTTAAATATATTACACTGTTCATTTTTTTAATAATACTGACGTCTTGTATAGACATAGAACGCAAAGCCCCAACTTTGAAGCTGTTGAGCTTAGCGAGCACTTTCTTCGGCGTGTGCGATGGCGTCTGTTGTGTGCTGGCATCTTCTCCTCTCTCTTTCGCCCATTGTTCGTAAGTAGGAGCTGAGCAGCACTTGATGTATTGTGTCCATTTACCGTACAAGTACCGCAAGCGCTTTTTGCTGTGAAGACGAGAAATCAATTTGTATTAAAAATATTTATTGAGTTTCAGTGAGCTGCGACTTTAGAAATTTTCATTTTTTTTTTCAATATTTTTACAAAAAAGCGTGGAAATGCTGCTGAAATGCACACAATCAAAACTTTTTATTTATTATCCATTTTTAATAGTTAAATATCTTAAGATTGTAAACATTTTTATCAGGCTTAATCTATAGTAATTTTGGGTATTTTTAATGCTGTTCCATTATACCGTAACAAAATTTTGGAGGACCACAAACTTAGTATACAATTATTGTCATTATAATAATTAATGACTTATTACGAAACTACTCATTGAAGATTTTACTACTTTAAAAGTTCCTGGAAAATATCTTGCTGCCTGGATCAAAAGAAGATACATTTCAACATCTACTTTCAATATTTTTATTAGAAAGTGACATGATTTTTTTATGTTTTTTTCTATAGAACAGGGGGAAAATGGGCAGAAGGCTCATCTGATGTGATATCGCCCATAGACACAAATGTCATGCCGGCCTTTTAAGAATCGGTTCGAATACTATGGGGAGCTGGTTCTACATGGTTCAGTTATGAGACGACAAACAAGTAAAACAAACCTGGAGTCCATAACAAATCCATCAACCCTATGCAAGTCCCTATTATTGAACCCAGCTGGTTTGAAGCAGAGGTTGGCTTTAAGGCCAGCGCCTCCATGGCACGTCACCTCCATGCTACCGTACTGTTCCATCCAGAGCTTGCCAACTATCACGTTATGAACGCAGCAGTTTACGTTACTCCATGTGTAGGCTTCACCCCATCTAAAAAAGGTTGTATATGTAAAAACTTTTATACGTCAATTAGTCGTCAATTACATGTAAATAACCTCCTTGAAATAATAAATATCTTTATTTTCTGTTTTATTAACTTGGAGTCAAATATTGGATAGTTCTGATCGCATGTTTACTTAATTTTTAAACTGACTGATCGTACCTGTGCACCTTGGATACCAAATAACCTTATGTGGCATGAGGCAGACACAGTCTGTACCCACAACCAAAACCGGTACATGGTTTTGACGGGAATTGACGAAGGGCGATCACGATTAACATTAGAATATCTAAAGTATTTGTCTATGTTCATACGTAGACCATTTCTTAAATAAGCTGCTGCACTATTGCTGAAAGCGAGATTTGGAACACACGTCGAGGTATTTAATTGTGTAATAAATTCGCGTTACATATTTATTTTAATGTGTCACGTGAACCTAATGTCTAATACAGAGTAGAAAAAGAATTTAAAAATAGAGTACCTGGGCAATTCTACAGTGACGTGTCCTTTGGGCTGAATCTCAACACTTTTGCCACAAAACTTGAGTTTAGGGTGCACTGAGCCGTGGAAGACGAAGTGGGGGCTCTCGGCGTGGAACGCAGATACTGGGGGATGGTGAGACACCTAAAATGAGTTTTTAAATGCGTTTAGGCGTTTTGAATTAGTAATTGGTAATATGAATTCATTCTTTTAAAGTACTCACGCTTCTGCTAACAGAAATTTCTCACTAAAACCGCTTTTGAAGTAAGTATACATACTTCAAAAGCGGGTCATTTAGATTAATGGGAAAAAGAAACAAAGAATATCAAAACTATGGTAATAAACTGAATAACTAATAATACTAGACTAGGGCATACTATACTAGAATAGGATTTTTATAAAGAATTACATAAATTAAATAAACTCAGACTCAAAATAACTTTATTCATAATTTACATTTACTACCAGTTCGCAAGTCAAGGGCGTAGAGCGGGCAAGAAACTCTCCACCACTCTTTTTAATCGCCAAGTTTTGAGTCATACAAATTATTTGTAAGGCAGAACAGCCATATAAATTTGAACTGGAGCATATCAATCCCAAGGATTAGGATCATTTAAATAATCTTCCAATTTATAAAAAGCTTTATTGATTAATTTACATTTAAAATAATTTTAGTAATATAAGTACCTGTTCACAAACTGCACGGAACTCAGTACGTTCCAGCTCAAAGGTTTCACCGAGGAGAGGATTAAATGGTTTACCGAGGCGCTCCCAGTTTGAGGCTAGAGCGCTAACTGCAAATGCTGCAACAGGTGTATTCATAAAGTGCAACCACGGCATAGTTTGGCTATAGATTAAAATTTCCAGATGTCTATTGATTATTGGTGTTTTGATCACGACTCTCTACATTAGAGGTACTCGTATTATAATTTATACTGGACAAGTGTATGCTCAGAAATGCACGTAGTAATCTCGCAACTCTATAAATCTCATGACCCACACTCGATCACAATTCGGCTAGATCAAGTGCAGGATTACAGTGTATGTGTTTTAGGTGGGGCATGGGCAGTGGCGGGTGGCGAGCATCGACCACTTCTTATGTTATATAATGCCATTTTCTAGAAGTTCTCACATTAAAGATATATATTACTAGCCGTTTCGCGCCCGCTTTGCTGGACGAATTAAAATAAATTTTATGTTTCATTATTTTATTTTTTTTCATATTTTTATTATTCTTCTTTTTAACTTCCCGCTAAGAAAATTGAAATATTTCGAAAATCGAGTTTTTAACAGATGTTGACGTTTAGAGGTTCTAGGAAGCCTCCCCGAATGTTTCCGCGGTGAAGTCCGTATGGATAAATTTTCATAAAAGTAAAACAGCAATAAAAAAATGAAGGAACGTTGGAATTTAATAAATAAATAGCCATAAACCATCTAGGAAAAATTTCGCATCGAATGGTGGTATGGTTTCATGTCGATACGATCAGTGGTTTAGGCGTGAAGGAGCCTCAAACGAAGACCATTTTTCTTTTATATATATAGAAGAAATAGAAATCAATAAAGAGTGTAGAAAGAGAAAGATACGCGCGACTCCTTTGTCTACTATGAATTGATCGATTTAATTTCTGTATCACTCCGTACGTATAAACACAATATCTTACCAGCAATATACTCCATCCGATTAACAGGATCTGTCTGTTCTGACGCCATCCTCAGAAGATGAGCATACTCCAGGTACTCCAGCATCCGCTGGAGGAAGGAAAGTGGTTCGTTGAATACCACAGGCATGGTGATCTTGGATAATTCCTTGCCAACACAGTTCTTTAAAACTGACCACAGGGAGAAGTCGCCACGGCTGAATTGAGCCACGGGAAGTGATGTCCTGAAAACAAAGAAGAAGGAAGAAAATATAATATACTATCTGTGTATGACTTTTTTCCCTCTCTGTCTAACCTACAACTTGAACTGCTCGTAAAGGTACGGTCTTTGTTTGTTATAATAATATTGTCATGTACGTCTGACTAATTTGGATTCTGGCTTGAAACTATTGGATCCGATGGGTGGCAGTCAAGCTAGATATGGCATCGAATATCTTCTTTTGAAATACATAAATGAAGTGTATCTTTAGATATGGCACATGTGACAAAACATGTATTCTAAACCTACATAGTAATAATAATAAAAAAATAGGTGTGTGTACTTATGTACGCCGGTAAGAAGTTATACTTCTTTGGCATTATTAAAAATAGTTTTTGATTGCATGCAAATAATTAATTACAATTAAATAATCAAAGACTGGAAAAGGAGTCATTATAGTCAATAAAGTTCAGTTTACATTTGAAAAATTAAATAAATAAATATTTATTATTATTCTCTTACATTAAGTGTAACATAAATTCTTTTATTATTCGAATGTTGTTTTTAAATTATGTCCAATGCAGTAGCATCTTCCGTGGGCAACATCATACTGATAATTTTGTGTCACGGTGCGCGCGCATCGTAAAATTTCACTCTCATCAATTTTTCATAACGCGCCTAAAGAAGTATAACTTCAAAAACTGATCAATAGACAATTTTACAAAATTTTAAACGTTTGTTCCCTGTGACAGTGTACCTTTAATACTGGCAGCATTTCCTCGCTGTGTGGTACTTATGCGTTGAGCGAGGAAAGCGCTGGGGTCATAGGTACTGGTAGATACCAGCTGCCAACTTAAATATTTAATTAGCGCCTTTGCACTTGAAACCCACGACCCAGGTCTCTACTCCAAAGGGAACAAAATCAAGTTGGAGGAAAGACTCTTATATTTGAACCGTTTATTATTTTCCGCCTGCTCTGCGGCCGTGCCTGCTTTTGTGTTTTTTGTATTAAAAAATATTTTTATTTCCTTTTATACATAATATAAGAAGCTGTTTGAAAAAACAGTAATTGTAGGAATGAATACTAACTTTAGCTATCTATTAATATATCAACGAAAAAATATTACATTAGATTAATAAAACTAAGTAAAATCTGTGTAAGTACGATTCGTACGTATATTACGCCTACGTAATGTTTATGCTATAAAAGATTCTTTTGAGACGGAGTACGAAGGTCACATTTTCTTAGAACCTTGCCTACGACCCTTTACAGGGTTGCCTCATATGTTTATAATATATATATATTAATAAAATAATTTATTTATTTATAATATATATGATCTTAAATAGAAAATAAGTTGGTGTGGTGGAAACACAAACTGTCCACCAGACAGAAAAACTGTCTACAATGTCTGTATACAATGTTACAAAAAATTCAAAATTTCACATTCAAAAATCATTTATTCACGTAGGTAACACAATGGTCACTTGTGATTCGTCATTAAAGAAATACATATTAATGCTTCTAATTTTACATTTACTGCCAGTTCTCAAATCAAGGGCGTAGAACGGAAGAGAAGAACTGGCAATAAACTCTCCGCCACTCTTTTTAATCGCCATGTTTCTTTTTACACAACGTTTGTAAGGAGCTGCAACCATTACACCATGTTCCACATGACATCTTAAGTAATTAATAATAATAACATAAATTAAAAACAAAGACTTGTCCTCTATCAGCAGGAGGCATGGTGAAATAGGAGCACGCACTTACATTCTCGTGGGAACAACACGCAAACACATAGTCGAAATAATTAACATCACCGCATACACAAATTCAAGTACGACCAGTCACCACAAGTAGCACCCGTTCACGAGTATGACGCATGGCCAGCCATAGGCCCCCTCGCCATATTTTAGGGAGAGAGACAACCCGACGCATGGACGTTGCTGAGAAACACATAAATATATAAATATATATAACATAAATAAAACAATCCGCGTTTCATCTCGTTGAATCTTGAACTAATAAAAGAAGTGTGTACACTACTATTAAAATACTAAAACATATTTAAGAACTATGTATATCAACTAATTATAGTAGAAATAAAACATAAATAACAGAATTAAAATATAAATATATATTCTAAGGTCTCATTAGATTGGTTAATGGAAATATGTATATATGTTAATTCAGATTTTTATTTTAAAAAATGTTAGCTTAAAGTATATGTTTAGTAGAACATGTCTCAAAAATATCTTCTTCTTCTTTTAGTGTCTCTCCATTACTGGAGGTTGGAGTCGGTCTCTGGACGCTTCCAGACACGCTTGTCTTGCCCTGTGCCAGATGCAGCAACTGTTCCGAAGTCGCAATACCCGTCCACTCCCTAACGTTGCGAAGCCGTTTACCCTGGATTTTACCCATTATAATTAATTGCAGGAGGTGGTAGCGGTCATAGCGCAACACGTGGCCCAGGTACGAATCTTCCCGTTGTTTAACATAAGTTTTCTCGACATTCCAACTCGTTTAAGAACCATCTTGTTAGAGACCTTCTGGATTTAGCTTATACAAAGCATGCGACGATAGCACCATATTTAAATGCTTTAAGGCTAAGAAGATACCCTTCTTTAATTGTCCAAGCTTCACAGCCGTACAGAACTATTGGCCATATGTAACAAAGGAGAATTCGGACTCGGAGTTTTTTTTTTAAAGAGTACCGAGAGTTTTTACGCCGGCTTTTTCTCTCGGCCTACACCCTCTGTCTTATTTGCCGATGAGTAGGGATGTCTATCTATACAAATTTAAAGATGTGGAATAAGTGATACCTGTATCTTATATTCCATAATAAACATATTTTATTTTTTTAATTTTGGCCACCGAATTATTTTTGTTATATCTTATCAAGTCTCTTAACTTCTTTTTTCTTTTTACTCGAGCTAGAGATAGAGAGATTTAAGTGAATAGAAACACAATAAAACAGAAATTGGAACGTCCTAACAAGGCAAGCAAATAGACTTAAATTTCCTGTATATATAAAGTAATATATTGTTTTATCTTATCATTTTATATTATTATTCATTTTTAATTATTATTACTATTAAGAATATTGTAAATATTCTATATTATATAGTTTTCATTTATACATTAACATTTTCTATATGTTATAACTCTTGTATTAGATATAGCCCTGTGCTCGAGCTACGAAAGCTGGGCTGAGTTGTTCAAGGTCGTTCCCGAGCGATCAATACTCGCATCCGGCATTCCCGACGGCTCATTCAGTGATGTACAAATCTTTATACAGAATTAATTGCTATACCTGTTACATCTGTATTACTTAATAATCATTTCGTAATTTAAATGAAATATCACATAAAAAGGCACTCCTTTGGCTGTAACGTTTTTTATATTGCTCAAAACATAGCTCAAAACTCTTGCTTTAATTATTCAAAATATTTAAAACACGGCTGTGGGTGCTTGCATGTTGCACCACGATGTATTTAAAAAATCTACGCAATGGCTATCAAACTATTAAATCGTCTTCCCAGAAGCTATAGATCACCCTGTAATGTTTTCTAGGGGAATGTGATTAGATTTTAAAGGCAAAGGCGCCTATTCTTTTTTATCATTATGACATTATGATAATTAATATGACATTTGCATGCCTATTTTATATGGCTAATTGTGCAAATAAACAGTTTATTTATTATTATTGATTTATGAATATAATAATAATAATAATAAAGCCACTTTAATTCAATACATAAAAGTTACAAATCAAATGGGTATTAGTTTTGTTATACACTTAGTCTACATTAGTCATAGTTATTTCCATTCGTTTTCTGCAATATGGACCTCTTTTGGTGGCCTGCCCCCATTACGATTACGAAGAAGTGTTTTATCGAAAGGGGTCCTTATTCCTTAACTTTCCATTTGGATTTATTCTTTGCTTCCTCCATATATTTCTCCCCAGAAACCTTTATGTTATCGTCTGCCTATCGCTTTTGTGGTATTCTCACGATTCCTGAAGGTCCCCTCAGTGGTCCATCTTGCAATATGGCTTGCCCATTTCCATTTTAGCTGAAAGACGTATGCGCATCTGTGATTGTGATCTAAGTTTTCGCCCTGATTTGATTGTAATGATGCTCCACTCCATTGCTCTCTGGCCACTTCTTTCCGTAAACGTCCAGGTTTGGCACCCGTAGACCAGGCTTGGAAGAATGCTAGTTTCAATAAGTATTTTTTAAATTTACGGTGTGAATATAAACTCGACAAAAAATTGAAAATTAAAACAAATTATAAAGTTTCGTCCCTGTGGCAGTGTACCTTTAATGCTGGCAGCATTTCCTCGCTGTATTGCGATACTTATTCGTTTCTGTTTTATCTGTGCAAGTGTTGAACCATTCTTATTATTTTAAGTACGAATAACATAAACGTACGAGGAAATTACCTAACTCTAGGTATATATAATAATGTTCTTTATCTTAATATATATAAATTACGTGTCACGTTGTTTGTCCGCTATGGACTCCTAAACTACCGAACCTATTTAAATCAAATTTGCACACCGTGTGCAGTTTGATCTTACTTAAAAGATAGGATAGCTTACATCTCAATTTATACCCGCAATATTATTTTATAGCAAAATATTTGTTTATTATTTGATAGTCACAATTCTAACAGATGGCGCTGCGTTGAAAGTACCAACGTTTCAAATAAGCTACAATTTAATGGCATTACCACCAAAAAAGCATGGTGGTCCCCATGACTGGTGTTCTCCTACCGTTTCCCTTGAATAGGTTACTACTATGTAATATAACTAAAACCTTAGCCACAGCATCGCTTGGCCGGTCTGCTAGTATATTATATAAAGAACATTATAATACCTAGAGTTAGATAATTTCATCTCTCTGAGGCTCTCTCAGGCTTTATTAAGTCACTAGACGTGTTGATTTTCAACAAAACAAATATTTGCTTTCCGAAGCTACTGTACGAAAACAGAACCTTTAGGTATATAAAACTTTGCTCTCGGAACACAAACAATTTTCCGGTATATTTTTTATAATTTTAATACATGAAATATGAATGTACTTAAGATACATTTTTAAGAACAATATTACCCCTTTATAAAAACCAAATTGGTCCAATTGCACTGTTAAGTAATGTACTCTTTCTTCTCTTACTGTCTAATTGTGTTAACGCTTAACGCATATTCTTGCAAATAAATTATTATTATGTTAGGCTAATTTCGTGCGTCTAGGTATTAATTTTAAATTGTGATATGTTATAGCTACTGTCCTTAGTTAAGTATAAATATAACGAATACCTAGTGAGATAGAATAGGTACTGATTCGCAGTTATTAAACCTTGACTATTGTCAGTTTTACAAATGCCTACAAAAAACTTGAAAATTTGAATAGCATTCACGAATCGTAATTAACTTTTTACCAGAAATAAATTTAAAGTGGTTTTACCTATTCATTTTGTATATCATGTAGTAACGTAAAGACGTAATGCTAAAATCATATAAGCATTTATTAAAAGTCAGTTTTAAAGGAATATTTTATTTGTATATATAGGTAACTTGGCTCTTAACTTTTAAAAGGTCAAGCCATAGAACTTTTATTTCTTTACTAGAAAAGCCATTATATATTCTTGATATTAACGAATACCTGGCCAAACCATGAGCAGCTTTACTCGATGAATTTTAATTTCTAGGTAAAATATCGTTGGATCGTATTAGAGGCTTAGGTCCGATTCGACCAAACAAGAGTAAATCTTAATCTTAGAATAAATCGTCAGTTAATCGAGAGTAAATCAATTTTACGTTTTACCAACTACAAATTCTAAGAATAGTGGGCTTATTCGGGAATAGCTACTATACCGCCGTTTCGCACGGAATAACAGCTATTCCTATAATAATTTAATGGCGTCAGTCAGTCCAATCAGCTGATTTCTGTCATTTCACAAATATGTATTCTGTGTTTTAATTTCAAGTCAACGCAACGCACTAAATTAATAGTCTGGCATTGTATAATGAAACGTTTAAACAATTTATTATTTATTTATTTATTTTTAGATTTTTTATTTTCTATAATATTAGAATGAAATTCAACTAGGCTCAACAGAAGTTCCTTTTTAGACGAAAGCCTCAAACAAACAAGAAATAAAAACTTTTTGTTGTCGTTTGACACCTGTTAAAAGCTACTTTTTCACTCTATAATACGGCAAAATCGAGTTGACATGATGTATGCTCTTACACCGTCCCGTTGTAGAACAACATTTATTTGCCGAGTTTTATTTTCGTTCACCATTCTCTTGCTATTCGCGTATTGTTATTCCTAGCGCAATTATACTATCGATTACGTGGACAAACTACTATGGATTTACTCGAGATTAAAATCATGGAATAGATTATTCTTGGTATAGTGACTCGTGTATAAATTGAAGTTTGGTCGAATCGACCCTTAGAGACATAAAGTGGCCAGATGACTAAAACTATTTATTAATTGGAAATACCTTTTAATTACATACTTTTAATACTTGTATAAATACTTTTGCTAAATATTTATAAAAGTAGTACGTTTCTAGTCAAATAATATTCATGTAAACAATCTTGAAGGCAATTGCGATATAAACTTGTTAAGTCTGCTCGGAGTGGGAAATTAAATTTTAACACGTCGGTTGGAATTATTTACTGGGAGTAAGTAAAATATTTAATATTCACCTTAAATATATTATATTAAGCATTTAGTATTTTCCTATCGTGTGATTATAGCGAGTAGTCCTTAAACCTGAGATATGGCGTTCGAGTCACGGCTGTGAATAAGAGGCCTTTTCATTCTGTGCGCAAACACTTACTACTACAGTGGAGGCAAACATCGCGTGGGAACCGGCATGTCCTAAAAATCGATGGCATGAATGCACAGAAAGTCGATAAAAAAAGATATAAAAGAAATGGATTCATTCGAGTCGAAGACCAATATTATAATACCACATAAGATTTTTCCGTGGACGAAATTGGAGCTTCTATTATCTGACGTTTTGAGATATATTCTAACTTCAAGCATTTCATTCGAACCGTAGACGGACTATGGTATAGACCAGGCATCAGCGTACCGCGTGTGAGATAGCGAAGGATCGACATATGTCATGTTTACAGTTTTAATTCATTGAAGATTGCTTATTATTGACCAAAATACACATTCAAATGAATAATTCTTGAACAAAGTTACTGAGTCGTGACAAAATAACCTAATTACCGACTTACCTCTTTTACAGCCAATTATGCAACAATTCACCACGACTGACACTTTAAATACACCTCTTATAAGGGTAAAGTCTTAAAATATGGGTTTTACTTGGGTTTCACAGATTTATCAGTAAGCGGTGAAAACTTGTTTACCACCAAGAGCTCGGTGGTAAACAAATAAATCCCGATACACAAATAGAGACAGAAAAACTGATATTCTGTTTCGCTCGCACTTAAGTATTTCACGTTAATGCCTTCCCTCTTTAGTTATTATTGTTATTTTAGAAGCTCATCTAGTTTTATACTCTATCTATGATTCGAACATTATTTTCAAAACATTAAAACAGCACAGAACTGCGTATGTCGATATATTGTAGTCTACATATTATCTGTGTATTGATAATTATCAATTATGATTTCTATAACAGTATGTAGTCTCAAATAGGTTACCTGAATCGTTTTAAAATCTCCATAAATTTATAATATAACTAAGATCTTTTAAATTCAAACTCAAAATAACTTTATTTATATAGGTAAACAAGTATATTTATGAACGTCAGAAAAGAAGTTAAAATAATTGTAAATTTACATTTACTACCAGTTCGCAAGTCTCTTTTTAATCGCTAAGTTTTGAGTTATACAAATTGTTTTGTCAAGATGCCAATTAATAAAAAATAGCTTACCTGTACGTGTACTGCTTGTGAACATTATCTTCCATCTTACAACCACTAGAAGTTCGAGAAACGTCACTCCGAAGTCCACACAAAACAGTCCACTATTCCCTGTGTATAATATTAACATCCATCCCAAATATCGATACTAACGTTCAACACGTTAGTGGTGATTTGAAACTACAGCTAATATAATAAAAACGTTTAGTATTTAGTCGCTAGAGCTACTGAAGCTATTTAAATTTATTTCATACATAGAAAGCCTCATTATGCCTTGGAATCTTGGGAACACGTACATTTATAAATTACTCAAACAAATAAAATATTGCCATATTCGAAAATATGCATGTCGCAAATCTTTACTGTCTTAACTTTTAAATGATATATGCGTGTCCAACATGACGTTAATTTTTGGGCGCGAACATTACTAACTATAATGTAAGTTATGTAACGCGAAGTAAATAATATGATTTTTTTTTGACTTTCTACAATTTTGTTAAGGCATCTTGACTGACCCCCTGAAGCGTCCTAAGTAATACGCAACACAAGCTATTAGATATTATTATTATTATATCATAGAACGATTCATGTATTCTGAATGATAAATTATTAAATAATAAATAAAAATTTGCCATTTTGTAGCGTTTGGTACATATTGAGCATATTAAACAACTGTCATTGTCATTATGGTTTGACGTTCATACTTAGAAAGCAATTGCCATAGACTAAACAAAACAAATTTTATAAAACAAACAGTAGCTGTATTGTAACCAAAAATAACGTAGTTATATTTATATATAATAAATTAATATGCAGTTGTGGCCTCTTCATTTGACATCTATGCCGTTAAAACTGTAGACACATAAAAGCAAACTACTTTGCCTTTATTAAGGTGAAGGTAAGTAAGTGTTCTCTAGAAGTCTTTGTTAAAGTAACACCGTATAATGTTACTAATGCTCGGATAATTACACACCAATTAGTCTTTGTGAGACATCACAAAAGTAGGTCAGGGCCGAGGTAAGGCTCCGAATATGCCAAACATAAAAGGGACCCTCTTTATGTTTGGCATTTTCGTAAAAGGTTTGAATGAAAATCCATAACATTTTTTCTACGTAAACTTACTGTATGTACACTTAACATTTCTATTCTATGCAGTGTCGGTAAATCGGAGGATATAAAAACATATTTTACCGGAACAAATCGAAAACCAAAATATTTTTAAAATTTAGTAGTAGGAAAATAACATACAATATAATATAAAGCCAATGGTCAGAAGCCCTTGCTAAAAAATATTGAACAAAATGCTATTTAATAATACGTCATCCATAACAGATTTCATAGATAAACCTCAGACAAAACCAAACCAAACTATACAAATGTGGGCGAAACAACGTTTTCTCAGCAATAGAGACATCTTGACCTATTTCGTCGTATTGTAATAAGAAAAACATTTAGATCTTGCTACATCTAAGACGTAGAGGGTAGATTTAACTTGCGTTCTCTATTCAAACATTTTGTTTTTAATTATTTTTGTTCATTTACATTTGTTAGATTTGTATGAACATTTTTTATAGAAACGTATACAAGTAGATTCGGTGTACCATTTAGGGAATAAGTTCTTGTTAAAATTGATGTCGGTACAATTAAGTAAAACACTTATATGACGAACAAAATTAACTGCGGTTCGTAAATTTTCTTCAAGCACCTTCAAGGACTAATATTATGCGGGTTTGGAAGAAAGCCAGTAGCAATCATTCCTGAAGTACTATTAAACAATGTTATACTTAAAACGTTAAGATATATATTCTGAGAGCTAACTGAACTTGTTTTGAGTAAGCCATTTATAATTACTAGATATTGCAAATAAATCCAAAAAAAAAATCTATGTAATATAAAGAGCTGCTTGAGTGACAACTGACAAATTAAATAATTAAGTTGTCAAACATTGTAATTATTAAGAAAATATAGTTTACCTTGTAGCTTTAAAGTATACGCAAAAAGGTAACAATAGAAGCTTTTAATTTAAAAATATTAAAATATTTCATCTAAAACAAATCTTCAAAAGGAAGAATACTCAGGGAAAGAGCAGATATAATATTTAGATGACCGCTATAAACAATATATTATATTGATCGCTAAAGATTTTAGTATGATAATAATTACGCAGTTATATTTACTATAAAAAAGGTACGACTTTAGCCTTTTTAATGCTGGGAAGCTTAAGAATATGGGTATTAAACAATTTATTTACTTCATTGACTAAATGGGCCATAAACCTTATAAATAGATATACCTGGATAAATTAATCCATTGACCTGAACAACTTTTTCATTTCTCTAGACATTTTAATAGACACATTGCAGCGTCAAATCCACCACTGAACGTTACAACATGACAAGCCAAATATAATTACGTAACTCACGATATAAATTTAAGACGTGCACACGACTCGACCGCTGTAGCGCAACTGAATGCTGAAAAATACCGAATATCTCAGACTGGTGGACGCCTACCCTCGCCCACGCAAACCACCCCACGCCTAATGGCGCCCAACACTCACAGTTCGTACAACTTGCAGTTGTTAAGAACCTTGTAACAAATATCTATATAATTATATGGAATACGGGAGTGGTTTTTGCTGTCAGTAGTTGGGAGTAGCTAATTTATGACTTGGTATAATTCCGAATTGTTGACAAAAATTTAGTTTATATATAGCCTTGTTACCATGGTTACAATGTCCAAATAAATAGAATACTAACCATGGTAACAAAACCGTACGAACTATAATCTACGTTTTTTAATGAGGCCCTTACCGACTAGAATTTAAATCTGAAATCTGCGCTTGCTCGTTTGCGCTTCTAGAAGAAAAATTTACCTTTAATATGAGACTCGTACCAAATTTTACATGAGTACTAATGAAATTCAAAGCGAAACATCTAGAATATTATGAAGCTCTACGATGACTTGTTGACACACTGTGAAAGAAGGGGAGTGAGGATATTATCGCAATTGATCGGTTTTCCCACTGTATTAGTCATTTCATTAAATATAGCTAATTTAAGGTATCTTAAGCCTGTCAGTAATGTCGAAAAAAAATTACCTACTTCAAGAAGTTTTAATAACAAAAAAGTTCTTATTTAATATTTATTTTCAAACCAATTATGGTACTAGGAAGTTTGTTAAAGCCAAATTGGATTTGGAAAGGTTAAAGCTAACATTGTGTTGAAATTAAATAATTAATTAAGGTATTTCCACCGTGTAGTCTCGTAAGATTAAAGAATTCTTCCGAGAAAGAGAATATTATTAAAATTTCTATGATGGGAATACAATTATTGATTGGACCGACCTACGTGTTTACACTCGCAGATTTGGTCTCCAGACACCGGCAAGGTCAATCGATTGTAATTCTGCGCACTTTTATGTTACTTTGGTAACTAGGTTTTAATAAGAAATAATATTAGTAATTTGAATAACAGTTTATATCACTAGCCCTGTAATAAAGATGTACCAGTAACCAGTGTACCGTTCAAATGTATTTTAGAAATTGCTAAAGCAGTAAGCATAAGGTCAATTAATTCAACAGGAATTTCAATTAATTAAATTAATAAAACTTACTTGCCACGGCTTATGAACTTATGGCTTATGCCAAAAATTAATCTGGGGAAAACACCCTTTGTTTGGCAATCAAGGTTTATAATATTTTACCAAAGATATTCCTATTGGTGTTTTAAAAATCCACTTAATATACTCTATTAAAGATTATTTGAGTAAAACATTATTATTAATATTAATTTGATAATGTCATAATATATTTTAACAAGGTACTGATAAAATAATATAAGAATTGACTTTGATATTATTCATAATGTAACGTAACTTTTATGTAAAATTCTACCTTTTAAGACAAATTTGCACGCCATTATATGTAGCAGAATATGCGAAGTATAGATTCTACTACTACTATAATATTTTTCCAAAAAAATTAATAACATTTAAATGATAATTAGTACCAATTCTTTTTTATTTATTTATACGTGCAAATGTATAATTAACTAGCGGCCTGAAAGATATTCAGCCGTAGCCTTTGTAACATTTAATAAACTGGCTGGCTATGGCTTAGGCCTTTCGTACGATAGAGTCATTATTTGGCAGAAATAAAAAAGATGAAACATATGACATAAAAAAATATTTATTTTAAAATTGCTTGAGTCAAATTCACATTATTATTGTCACTACACTCTTCCATTGTACTTGTTGTTTTTGATTAAACTTTGGAAAACATCATCAAAGTTGTGGTGTGCCGACGCGATATTGACAGTTTGAAGAGTTTCGTTTCCAGTTTGAAAGTGGCAGAAAATGAAACTAAATTTAAATTAACAGTCAACAGGCTAGGCAAGTAATAAAACGCCATCGATCCAAGTCATTTGCCTAGCTGTTTAATCAATTGGCCATTATCTTTCAGGCCGCTAGTTAAACGGCGCTCTTAAGTTAAGAGGCTGTTGATTAAACGGCTAATTAAGTTAGTTGGCTGCGACATATCTATCACCCGTGGAGGTATTGTATAAAAAAAAGGGTGCGTGTACTTATGTACGCGCGTAAGAAGTTATACTTCTTTGGCTTTCTTTATTTTTTTTATATAATTAATTAATAATTAATATTTAACGTAAACAATTTAATAATATTTAGTATATTATTCAATTATTAATTAATATTAATAACAATTATTATTATTATTTTATTATATTATTCATTCAATTTAATAACTTGGTATGTCTCATAACCTTTTAACTAAGTAACAATAGGTCTTTGTGAAAAAGCATTGCTAAATTTCTTTGAAAAAATAATTAAAACTCCTTTATTTGTTTAAAAGGTAAATGTCATTATGGTCATTCAAAATTCTTGGCATAGCTGCTAACTTCACGCATATTCTATTTCTTTTTACTTGTAGATTGTCTTATTCCCATCTCGCTCGCGCACGCTATAATCACACTGACAACTTTCTGTCTCAGGTGCGCGCGCATCGTAAAATTTCACTCTCATCAATTTTTCATAACGCGCCTAAAGAAGTTAAACTAAAAAAAAAAAAAAACTGTAACTGATATTTAATTCTCTATCTATGGACCTGTCAATTATGTATGCATGAAATGAAAAAGGTAGAAACTAAAAAAAACAAAACACAAATTCTTATAAATTTATTTAAAAAATCAACTAACTTAATATAATAATTGGTAACTTGATGAACACATTTCACAATAAAAATTAGTTCTAATATCGGCCATACACACAACTAGACTTACTTTGAACTATCGACGCCATATTATTACTAAATTTCTATGGGAAAATCTGTCTAAAATATTTAAAAAATTTCATATAATTGTAATTTGAGTATTTACCCTCGCTGAGATATTCGCAAATATGTTTTATTATATACTAAATATCAAACTTTCACAGTCTCCGAGTTTGATACCTCTTTTGGGTATAGTTTCTGAAGCAGTAAGTATACAATAGCCAATTCAAGTGATTTTGTTAAAAGTTTTCACATAAAGTTGGCGTAACTTGGAACAACATTTAGTGTATGTGCGTGTGCATTTAACATAAGACTAAAAACGTTTCAAATGTGCAAAAATTGTGTGCGAAGATCATATACAATCATACTCAGAGTCGTTTGTTAAATGCTAGTGGTTGATTCAGCCTTTTTCTGACCAAAACTTTCTTAAAGCGACTGTACTGATACTGATTTAGTTGTCTTTCAAAATAAAATATAAAAAATCTTTTGGAATGTCACTCGACTGGGTTAGGATGTTAGTTGCATTGTTTCATATATGCTCTACATTTAGTTTTTTTTATTAATTCTGTTTTTAAATAATTTTATTATAATTTTTGGATTGTTCAGTGTGTATGACTCCAAGATAGTATGGGTCCACTGAATATGAGTGTTGCTAGTGGCAGCAATTTAAATTAATGATAGAAGTGATGTTTGTATTTCTTTTTTATATATATGTGTGTGCTTTAATCAAATAAACTATTTTTATTTAACTAATTTATTAAATTTATTAGATATGTAACTAAATTTATTATCTGCCATTAGTAATTGTCGACTTTGAGTATCTAGAGCTGAGTTTATTTTAATTTTATAGTGTTTTAACGATGCCCAAGTGTCACGTGACATTAAATGGCTTGCACAGTATTTTTTTGTCCAGTACTTTCCTCCATTTTTCAACGGACATTATGAAAATTTAATTTAAAAATCAGTACTAAATTTAATTGTGTTCTTTATAATGAAGCCTTAGTTTGATATGAATCAATGATAAACTTTGGTTTTATGTAAGTCTGTAGAATTCCCGCGAGAACCGCTATGAGAATCGAAATTATGGCGCATTTTTATTTTGTCCTATGTATACGTCAACAGCGTATTTAAGCCAACCAATGACACGTGACACGATTTGTCGTTTCGTTTGACCAATCACTTTCAAATGCGTCATCGTATTGCCTTCCGTTATATTTGAACTCTCCTGGATTGGTCATTGCTGGATTTGAATCTTTTAATATATGTTATAATCAATGTCTAAACTTTAAAAACCAAATATATAGAGCGAGAATGTCAGTCAGACGAATAACATAAAAAATCAAACATATATTTGTACTGGTTTTTGTATTTGGTTACAGATAACATTAAACTCACTAAAAGGTATTAATTTTATTTAATTTTTCCAATAAAAAAAACGTCAAACTCCATGAATATGACTAAAGTATATTTTAACATTATAATATTAATCTGTGAAAATTAAAATAGGTTTCGATGACCATGACCGTCAAAGCAAGACTGATAAAATATAACTTTAAATTGTTGTCCATTACAAAATAAACCTTAATACAAAGATGTTAAAGAAAGATTAGAATTGAATCAAAGTAATACAGAAACAATCAAGATAATATATCATTACATAAATATCACAGTATTTTTGGACATTCACAATATCAAAATTAAACACTAATAAATCCATCAAAAATATTCCAATAGTCAATTGTCAAATTCTTAAATGCAAATAACACTACCATATATTGTGCTAGTCTGTGCAAACAAACCGTGATTACGATACACCGCCACACGAAATGGCGCTAGCGTCTACTCAATATCCTCAGAAAATCTATGATCTAGAATTCGGGCTTGTAGACGGACCTAATAGCATCACCAAGTATGAAGAGATCCAATCCTTACGATGTTTTCCTTTACCGTATTAGTGTATGATGACGTCGGCAGAATTTATATAACAACTTACGCTCCTACCCGAGAAGCTTAATATTCATTCTTTATATAACTTACCCACTTAACCCACATCCCTTTATAAGATAATATAACAAAAAAAGTCTGTCATGGCACCCATTTTAGTGCGTTGTCTGCCTATAAGGGAGAAGTAGGCTTTTTTTTTAAATAATCGGATCGTATCTTCATCGATTTTACAGTTCTAGGAAACTTGCAAAAGAAAATGATTAGTAACTCCAGTCAAGAAAATAGTGAGAATCAGGATTTTTTGCTCGTAAGATATACTTCTCCCTTATGAGCTTTCCTTATAGTAGTAGAACCAGATAATTTAAACAATTTTTTTATCGATTTCGTATATGACGACGTGAGTATGAGTGAGTAATACAGTTTGACAATTTTTTAAATTACTATGAAACTACAGATCAGAAAAAAACTATATTGCACCTTAGTTTAAAACCCATATCTTAAAACTTATATTACCTTATACCTTCACTCACACTTTTATATTCACAGTTTATTAATCACAGTTTTATATTCACTAAAATGAGAAGCGTTTTGTTAGATTAATAATTGAAACATAAAACTCATACAAAATTAAAACTCGGGTAAACCAATATTTTTTTCTTAAAGCGACCATTTTGAGCTGAAACAAAAGAAAAATAAAATATATAACCAAACATAAAGGGTTAATTTAAAAAACAAAGGTTTTTAGAAAATAACGTCTGTAATTATAAACGAAAGAACGAACATACATGGTACAAATGGGCTATTTGACATAATTTAAAACATTTATTAGTTACTAGCTGTGCTCTGCAGCAATAATTCGGTAGCTTGATATTTTTTACTGGCCTTTTCACATCTAGGATTACACTATCGTAATCTTAATCTTAATATATATAAATTACGTGTCACGTTGTTTGTCCGCTATGGACTCCTAAACTACCGAACCGATATCAATCAAATTTGCACACCGTGTGAAGTTTGATCCAACTTAAAAGATAGGATAGCTTACATCTCAATTTATACCCGCAATATTATTTTATTGCAAAATATTTGTTTATTATTTAATAGTCACAATTCTAACAGATGGCGCTGTGTTGAAAGTACCAACGTTTCACATAAGCTACAATTTAATGGCATAACCACCAAAAAAGCATGGTAGTCCCCATGACTGGTGTTCTCTTACCGTTTCCTACTATGTAATATAACAAAAACCTTAGCCACAGCAACGCTTGGCCGGTCTGCTAGTATAATATATAAATTACGTGTCACGTTATTTGTACGCTATGGACTCCTAAACTACCGAACCGATTTCAATCAAATTTGCACACCGTGTGTAGTTTGATCTAGCTTACATCTCAATTTAAACAAACGTCAAGATTTTTACGTGTTAATTATCATTCTTAAAATACACAAATACATTATATTTGGATCAAAAACCGTCTCCAACTAAATTAAACCATACAGTATTAACGATTGGAAAGGCGAAGACAAGTGATTTAATTTTTGAATTATCTGTGACTGTTTTAGTGTCATGTGACTGACGTTCGAAAATATTTTTAACTAGCTGCCATCCGCGTTTATTTCGCCTTAATATGTTTTTATTTTACCTACCTTTTTAGTAGCTACATACCAACATTGTTACCTTGCTATACTACCCCATAGAGATTGTTTTCTTTTTCGGAATAAAAGCTAAGTTCTAAATAAAACTGAATTTTTCATTCTTTTTCCAATTTTTCTTTCCATAAAAACCTTCAAGGAATTAATAAAATATAGTCGAATTGGTCCAGCAATCTTTAAAGCTTAGCAAGATATTTTGCGATTCTTATTTAGGAAGCGTTCAAGTATTACGTAACGAATTTTGGGAGGGGGAGTCCTTTTGTAAAACGTTACGATGCGGGGCGGGGATTGAATTACGCGTTATTGTTAATATTATATTCAAATTTCCAGTACTTTACAACACATAATGGTAACTTTTAGGTATAAAGAGTCACTAGGTGATCACGAAACGTTTTACTATACTTGGGTACAGAAAACGTTACGGCGCGTTGCATGGGGGTGGTCAATAATCTTCGAAAATTGCGTGACGTAATACTTGAACGCACCCTTATAGAGATTATGGAATTTTTATAAATTAACGATTTTAAAGCAACTTTATATACGGATTACTCTCAATAACTCTACTCTTCATACTGTCAAATAGCCTATTGTATCCCCATTGGCTAAGTAATAAGTATAAATAATGATTATGCATTGAAATAAAATGAAAACATTATAAAACTTATTAGTATATATTATAAATACTCAATGAAACTTTAGCAACCCTAAAATTCTGTCAATAAAATACTTACCTTGGAACATAATTCTTTCTGTACGTCCGTGCGTTTCGATAAACATGTCCGTCCTGCGATACCAGAGTGCCACGGGAGCTGCAAGGGCTGATCGCTGTGTGTATGGACTGAGGAGAGCCGGACCCAGATAGACGATGATCCATCTCTTGATTTTCATTCGTTGGTGTCACATCACCTGTTTATCCACATTTTACATTTATTACAAATTTTTAAAAATGCGATTTCAAACTTAAATCTCTGAGGGCCGACTGCCAAACCAAGTGCACGGTGAAGGCCTTATGGCCGATCTAAGAAATAATGGACTCAGTGTTATACCACTGTAGAATCCTTATTAAATGCGCTAACTTTTAAAGCTACTTGCTAAACTGGAGAAAACTTGGTACGGTATAAAATGACATTTTCCTAAAAGTTGGAGTGATCAGCACAGAGTTTAGGATCATAGGTTACATAAAGCACTATTCGGGATGACGTAAGAGAAAAAAAATTGGCAAAAAGTTAATATTTGTAACAACAGGAATGAAAAAACTGTCACATGGTGTGCATTTTCTGGAATAACAAAAAAATATCCATAACTTCAAAAATACATGACTTAATTTTTTTTTTAAATTTTTCTGATAACTGGTGTGGCATTACCTATGAGAAAATTTCGACTTGACGTTGACTTTTTTTACTCTATACAGGATGTCCACCCTGTATAGAGTAAATTTTTGAAACTTAATTCGAAAGATAAATCGATACCAAAATGTATAGGGAAACCGTACGTAAATCGATCTCTTGATTATCATTTGTTAAACTAACAGTTTACTGACATTTTACATTTATTACATTTGAGTTTTGTTTTAAAACTTTCGATAGTTAAATCTACACAAAATATTGAAGGTGAGGGAAACACTATGAATGATTCATTAACCAGTCTCTCATGATCATTCATTAATTCATTGGTCACTCGACACGAAAATATGTATTTGATTTAGACGTTATTAAATTTGTCAATCTGAGACAATATTTGCCTAAAATATTGTTTTAGGTTTTAAACATGTTACTTGTGTAAATAAAATTAATAAAACGAATATTACATGCCTTCCTTAAAAATACCACATTCTTCACTATAGTTTTAAAATGCCAATAGCTTGCAAAATCGTAGATAGATAGTTACCATTATCACTGCCTACCGGCGTTCGTCTTGTTAAGTCGGGACTGCTTCCCCAAGGACTAAGAGCGCCGAGGGGACTACACAAACCCGCTGTCACTAATGTATCGTCATCTTCTTCAGAGTCTGCATTAAAAAACAACAAGAACAGAATATAAAATCTACCTATACTAAATGATTCACAGCTTTAAACGTACAGAGAACTAAAGTATTGCCAATATTTGACATATTGAATACATAATAATTAATGTGTTTTCGTACAACTGATTTTGGTACAATAATTTTGTTTAAATAAATAATATTTTAAATACACTTACCGTCATAAACATCGAAGAAATTGTCCCTCGATTCGTTCGGCGTTCGTGGAGCTTTCTTTTTTCTCTTGCTCTATAACAATGTCAAATTTCACATTTAATACATCTCGTTTAGTTCTCATTTAATTTTTTACTTTGACTGGCCGATGAACCCCAAGGCCCTTACTGAACTCACAAACTGGTGGCAAGAGAAAACTCGGTAGAGCGAGGCTGCGTTGGTGGGACGGAGTTGTCAAGGACCTCGAAACAATAGTGGTTCGAAATTGGACGCAAAACTCACAAGATAGATTGCGATGGCGAAATATATTCGCGGAGGCTAAGGCTGTACAGGCATTGATGATGATGAAACGCGAATTTATTATTTACAATCATGATCCATAAAGACTGACAACTTCGCATTTCGCAATTCTAAGCGTTTGTATTGTATAATTGTGGCATTTATAAATACATTAATAAAAAACAATATAGTCAATAATATAGGAATTAGACCCGTACAAGCAACCGTCACCTGTAAACCTTGAAAAATGATATACCTAATAAATCATTCTAGATAAATATCTATTGCAACCGCAATAAATTCCGTGCAGTAGTTTTTTAATTAATCATGAACAGACCGACGCGGCGATTGGCTTGATTTTACATAATAAAAAATATATATTATTAAAAATAAAATACATACTGCTGACTTTTTAAAGGTTATATCAAGCTCTTAAACTTACCTCTAGAACTTAATCATATATCTGACATCGTTAAGGCAGCGTTCGTAAGACGAAAGAACAAGGAAAGTCTTTATATAAAAGAATTAGAAAATCTATTCAGTAGATTCAGAGATCTACCCTGGATCCCTAAGACTCTATTAGAAATTTTACAAATTTGAGTAGTTTTCTAAATTACAGTAATTACAGTACACGTACAGATTACGTTGTTCACGGCTTGACTTACAGAAATACTCACTCCAGTAAGTTCTTCAGCGACGGACATTTCAAGAGCGTGGTGTGTTCTCGCGAGTGCTGCCAAAGCTTCCTCCAAAACCCGATTGCGTTCCAACTAGAATAAAAAAATGGTTCAAAGTACTACTTTTAAAATAGCATTTTAAAAACAGTACTTTGGCATAAATTTAAAGGAAAGTTATCTTTCCTTTAAGGCTACACAATTCTTTCATTAGGTATAGTACCTTAATAATAACAAATAAAACTTCCGTAATTTTGTGTTTGGAGGACGATTTCTATAAATTTCTAAAGAAAGAATAACCTACCTCATTAGCCAAGGCAGAGGCGTCGCGATCCCGCGTTTGCGCAACTAAGGCGATGCAATGACGTAATGCTTGTAATGCTGCTTGACCAGATCCGTGCACGTGTTGGAAACGCTGAAGAATAAAATTAAAAATGTTAACTCAAATGTGAATAAAAAATTTTTCTTCAATATGTATTTCTGCTTAAGTCTGCTAAGTATCTCAAAGAGTTTATATAAAAGAGAGTCAAGTTAATAGAAAGTATGTATTTAAAAAAAAAAATATTTTTATATCTTTAACAATGTCGATATTGTAATAAGAGAACACGATGTCATTAGTTTTAAAATAAAATTCAAATATCGGACGATAGTCACTAAAAATATTAATCGCTTCGAATCTGCGACAAACTTAAATAACTCTTCTGTGCGTTTGTAATTAAGCTGAACCGATTTTGTTGCATTTTTTCGAGAATTATATAGGTTTATAATTAGACAGGTCATTTCGGGTCCGCTAGTAGGTAACTAATCATAAATGATTCGAAATTAACATTTATAGTACGGGGGGTAGCAACGTTTTCGAGAAAGAATTTCAGGTCAGCTGATTTTGTGATATGTCTTCCTTCTTGCACTTTCGGTTAGAGTCTTGGCTATCTGGCTGGCGGTAGCGGTTGCGTTCATTAGTGCGCATCCTATCTGTCCAGGTAATAATCCTGGATTTTAAAAGTAGTATTGCAGTATGATGAAGCATTGCATTTTAAGAAGCGTAATTTTAAATTTTTAGTTTTTAAATAAGTCTACCTGACATACTTTTTTTATTGCCAGACATTTTTGACATTGCTAACTGCGAGTATGTGCCAGACACGATTTTAAGTTTTTTTTTATAAAAATTTCAAAGTATTTTATAATGTCTGTAATTGTGATATTATGTTATTTAAATATAAGAAAAACTAAAAATGAATTTGCCAGACATTAATTCGATTGTTAAACCTTGAATTAAAATGAAAAAGTCATTAAAAGTATTGCAGTATGATGCCTTTCATTGGTAATAAAAACATTTACGTAAGTTTTAATAAATGTTGATAAATAACAAAGTAATTAAAACTAGTGAAGAATCAGGATTATTTTTCATATTTGCCCAACTTTGAAGCATCCCCAATGAAACCTGAAATACAGTTATCACTAGATCAGGAGCCTGAGATACATGTTTGTTATGAAACCCTTTTTTTTGGCAATAAATAACATTATTATAAAATATGCTTGACTGTGAAATTGGTAAAAATATATCATTTAAAAAATAAACTTCACATTTTTTGTACGTTATAATGATTGTCTCGAAATTGCGTTAATGCAGTAATGCAATGAAGAGATAAATATGTAATTTTAATCATAAAACTAAACATACCATATACGCAGAATGCTGTAAGGAATTCCCCTGTCTGGTCTTGTCTAAAGCTCGAAGGATCGCTTCGCACTCATTCATTTGATTCTCCATTAACGCCATATGATTGTTTGCGGCTGTCAACGAGTCTTGCATCGAACCTGTAACATTAATATTTTGTAATACAGAACTGGGCAGACGTTTGGCCATATTCTCTTTACATTGCCTACACATGGCCCATTTCAGAACACAATCCCAGCTAATGTTAAGTGAGATAAGAGAGTTCTACTCCTTTGCTGTTTTGACAAGAAACGATGACCCAAATCGTGTAGTGCGGCACTTGGGGGTGACAACAACGAAGGGGTGAAACTCCAGCGTGCTTCTATGCGAGCGTTGTTTGAAAGGGGATAGAAGAAGCAGGTTCCTAGTAGCATTCTCCGGAGTGCAATCAATAGAAGTATGAAAGGCAGGCAACAAGACGGCGATATTCGCTCACTAACTGATATCGATACAGCTAGACTTGTTTATTTTAGTTACTTTCACAGCTTAACAACTTATGGCTTATTTTTATGGGGTCATGCTGCTGATGTCGAAACTATTTTCATCCTGCAGAAGAGGGCTATTCGTGCAATCTATAATTTAAAATGTAGGGAATCTCTGAGAGATAAATGCAAGGTAATTAATATACTTACCTTTCCCTCGCAATATATTTATGAAAATATTATTTATGTATACAAAATCACCGATAAGTTTACTGGAATAGTACATACGCACAATTTTAATACTCGGAACAAACGCTGGCTGCAATTTCCCCGTACTAGACTATCTAAAGTTAGTAATTCATTTTTGGGAAAGGGATACTTTTCATTAATAAAATCCCAGAGGCTTGTTTGACATAGTCATTTTGTATGATGATTTGATATTTTAAAAGAGTACCGAGAGCTTTTTCTCTCGGCCTACACCCTCTGTCTTCTTTGCCGATGAATAGGGATGCCCACAGATTCAAATTTAATGACGTGGAATAAGTGATACCTGTATCTTATGTTCCATAATAAACATATATATTTTTTTTATAGTCAAGACTTAAGAGTTGAGATTAGCCTTAGCCCGTCTCTCAATAGCATCCAAGGCACCCAGATGACATTTGGCAGCACCGGTCCAGAAACTGCAGGCTTACTCCCACATGAACGGACATGAGCTTGAAAAAGATTAAGAAACTGTTTCGGTGTGACTTTTGCCAAAATACCAAGTTTTTTCCTGTCACCTGGGCATTAAAATGAATGAAACGTCGTAAGCTGACATCGGCCGACAGCGCAACGCCAAGCAACGAGACACGGTCAGCTATATCCAAAGACTACGCCTAAGACTAGACCCCGGAAAGTGTGACTGAATCCAAAAGCACTCTTTTTAGAACTCATTTGACACGCCTGGATCTTATTAATAAAGGGGGGTATGAGATTGACTACTATTTTACTTTAATCATATATCTACATACTTACTTTCCCTTTGTAAAAATATTTTATTACTTCGTCAATTTAAAGAAAAAACTTTTTAACCGGATTAAAGTTATGTATTATATTAAATTTATCCGACGTTTCGCGAGCTTTACAGCGTGCGTAGTCACGGTGACTGAAGACAAAAGGTGTCAAAAAGTATCACAGTTGTAGAGAAAGTTGCATTATCTGTATTTATTTCCCCGGAGTTGGTATCGACTAAAAGATGGAGGGTTTTGGCAAAAATGGCTCACGGTGTCCTCTATTTTCGCGGATTGTTTTTATATATAACTTTAATCCGGTTAAAAAGTTTTTTCTTTAAATGTGTAAAGGTAATGTCAATAAAAGACAATACTATACTTCGTCAATGTTTAGAAACTAATTCAAAGACACATTATTGTGACACAAAAAAATTGAGTGTTTACAAAAATACCTATTATTTCACATAAGGCATAACATGTATGTTAGAACAAGTTAAGAAAAAATGGTCACAAAACAGAAAATCAAAGGTAACTTAAAGGTAAACAAATAACATAAAAAATATGTAAAATACTTACCCAGTGGTTTACATTCGTCTTCCAAATCTTCAGTTGCTTCCTTTGCTGCATCGGGTGCCGCTCCCGCCCACAAATAATGCCCAGAATAAGCGATATGCTCTTTTAGAGCTGTGATCCATGACTGAAATGAACAAACGTAACTATAGCGTGTCCCCTTACACCCAGTGGGGGCATGGGCAGACACGTCAGTTTTCGATGACATAAGTTTTTTTATAAAACAGAGGGCGAACGGGCAGGAGGCTCATCTGATGTTGTGTGATACCGCCGCCCATGGACACTCTCAATGCCTGAGATCTACTATATCTAATAAACTTATTTCGCATTCATCCTACTATTCACAATAAAATATCAAATCTTTTATGGCGTCGGGACGTGACGACCCCATCGCCCACTGGTGAAATAACCTGTGACAGAGGTTATTTCATCAGCGCAATCAGTCAACCCCTTCCTAGTGGGAGTGCCATGCTGTTGCCTTCGGGCTTCAGCCAAATGGGCAGGCACGACCGGGGCAGTACCACTGTCTCTTAGAAAACCGGCGTGAAGTGAGGCAATAGGTTCGCCTTATTGTACTCGCGTTTCGTACGGTAAGGGAGACTCCCGGAGCCCATCCCCCCCCCCATATGAAATATGAAGGTGCAGAACAAACAGAATCTACCCCAGGGGGGTACCACACGCGAACGCGGTGGAGAATCCCCCTCTGAGCGTCCAACACCGGGACACTCAGCACCCGGTGGTGGACGCACAGGCTGCCCTTCGTATTCTGGGGGGGGCAATTCTGCGCTCAACAAAAACAGTTATCGTTCTCGGGGCAAACGGAGCAATTCAACAAAGGCACCCCCGTCCACGCTCGCCGTGGACTTCACAAATGTTAGGGGGCTCAATTCCAATATCAACGCAGTCCACTACCATTTAGAGACTGCGAAGCCGGCCTTGCTCTTTCTTACCGAGACTCAGATTTCCTCCCCGGCTGATACTTCCTACCTCTCCTACCCGGGGTACAAATTGGAACATTCATTTGTGCCGCGGGCGGGAGTTTGCGTGTACGTCAGAGAGGATATCTGTTCTCGTCGCCTCGGGACGCTTGAAGGAAGGGACCTATCTAACCTCTGGCTGCGCGTTGACTGCGATGACCATCCGCGATTCTACGCATGCCTGTATAGGTCCCATAGCGGAAATACCGAAACTGACCGACTCATTGAGCACATCCAAATGGCTACAGATTCCCTGCTCGAAAGGGTTCCTACCGCTGAAATCGTGATACTTGGCGATTTTAACGCCCACCATGCCGATTGGCTCGGCTCTGAAACCACCGATCACGCGGGAAGATCCTTTCACGACTTTGCTTTAGCCTACGACCTGACACAAATGGTCCCTGCGATTACGCGAATACCAGATGTGGATGGTCATAAACCCTCTTTGTTGGACCTTCTGCTGACTTCACATCCGGAGAACTATCAAGTCTCTGTTGACACGCCATTGGGTTCATCGGATCATTGTGTGGTCCGGAGTACTGTGCCATCTACGCGCCCTTCACGGCCCCGCTTTATGGGTTGTCGCCGTATTTGGCACTATAAGTCAGCAGATTGGGACGGGATGCGGTCTTTCTTTGCGTCCTACCCTTGGGGGCCTATGTGCTTTTCGCCGGAAGCTCCAGATTCCGTCGCCGCCTCTGTCGCCGAAGTGGTTCTGCAGGGCATGGAACTCTTTATTCCATTTTCTGCGGTGCCGATCGGTGGCAAGTCTCAGTCCTGGTTTAAACGTTCTTGCAAGGCGGCCTCGCGTCGAAAGCGAGAATGCTTTAAGGCATGGGCGGAAGCGGCGAAATCTCATGATGCCAATACCAGCGAACTTAAAACAGCATATAACTCAGCCTCCAGGTTCTTCAAACGGGAAATCACTAAGGCAAAGTCAGAGCACATTGCCAGATTTGGCGAGAGATTGGCCCAGCTCCCTTCAGGGACTCGAGCCTTCTGGTCTCTCGCCAAAGCTGTCCAAGGGAATTTTTGTCAGCCCGCCATTCCGCCACTGCACAGGGAGGATGACTCTCAGGCCCACACTGCGAAGGAGAAGGCCGACCTTTTGGGCTGTCTCTTCGCGTCCAACTCGACTTTGGATGACCAAGGAAGATCACCACCGACCATTTCGCGGTGTGATTCTTCGATGCCGGAAATCACATTCCGGCAACGTGCTGTCCGCAAAGCACTATCTTCCTTGGACATTCATAAGTCGAGCGGGCCTGATGGTATCCCCCCAATTGTGCTGCGTACTTGTGCTTCTGAGTTGGCTCCGGTCTTAACGCGCCTTTTCCGGTACCTGTACTCGCTCGGCACTGTCCCGAAGTGCTGGAAGACCGCTTCGATACATCCGATCCCTAAAAAAGGCGATCGCTCTGATCCGTCCAACTATCGCCCAATAGCTATAACCTCCTTGTTCTCCAAAATAATGGAAACCATTATTAATTGCCAGCTCTTGTGGTATCTAGAGGGCCACCAGTTGATTAGCGATTCTCAGTACGGCTTTCGTCGTGGTCGCTCAGCTGGTGACCTCCTTGTATACCTTACCCATAGGTGGGCAGAGGCAATTGAGTCCAAGGGGGAGGCGCTGGCGGTAAGTTTGGACATAGCGAAAGCCTTCGATCGGGTGTGGCACAGAGCACTGCTCTCGAAGCTTCCAGCCTATGGGCTTCCCGAGAAATTATGCGATTGGATCTCCAGCTTTCTGGCCGATCGGAGCATCAAGGTCGTCATCGACGGAGCATGTTCCGACCTTAAACCTGTGAACGCTGGGGTCCCACAAGGCTGTGTTCTATCCCCAACCCTATTTCTTTTGCATATCAATGATATGTTGCAACTTAGCAACATTCATTGCTATGCGGATGACAGCACTGGGGATACTTTTTACACTGGCCGGGCAGGTATTTCTCGGGCAGTTGTCGATGAGTACCGGAACAAACTTGTGTCTGAAGTCGAAACTCTACTACGTGGAGTCTCAGACTGGGGCAGACAAAACCTAGTCCAATTTAACCCCAAGAAGACACAAGTTTGCGCGTTTTCCGCTAAAAAATCACCCTTTGTCGCTACTCCTCTTTTCGAAAACACTCTTCTTAAAGCCACAGCCAGCATTGGAATACTTGGCGTTGACATATCGAACGACGTTCAGTTTCGCGGTCATTTGGAGGGAAAGGCTAAATTAGCCTCCAAAAAGCTTGGTGTGCTCAGCAAGGCGAGGCGGTACTTCACTCCGGGCCACCGCATGCAACTATATAAAGCGCAAATTCGGCCCCACATGGAGTACTGCTCTCACCTCTGGGCGGGGGCTCCCCAGTACCAGCTCCTTCCACTTGACCGTATACAACGCAGAGCGGTTCGAATCGTCGACGACCAATCCCTCTCCGAGCGGCTTGATCCTTTGGCGTTGCGTAGAGATGTGGGGTCACTCTGCATCTTCTACCGCATTTACCATGGAGAGTGTTCAGAGGAGTTGTTCGGATTAATACCTGCAGCTGAGTTTCATCATCGGACGTCGAGACAGAATACGAAATTCCACCCGTATCACCTCGACGTCCGCCGTTCCACAACTGAGCGTTTTTCAAGGCAGTTTTTGCCGCGCACCACCACTATGTGGAATCAGCTGCCCACTGAAGTATTTCCGAACCAATTCGACTTAGGGTCCTTCAAGAAAAGAGCGTACCAATTCTTAAAAGGCCGGCAACGCACTCGCGAGCCCTCTGGCATTGAGAGTGTCCATGGGCGGCGGTGTCACTTAACATCAGGTGAGCCTCCTGCCCGTTTGCCCCCCGTTCTATAAAAAAAAAAAAATAAAATATCAAACATGTGATCTTTCGGCTTATTATTGGAACAGAATTTTGATGATGTTTTTACATTTATGCAAACCCAACATCTATGTTGCAAACAAATTTGCAATAAGCTCAATATTATCAATATTATGGCTTCGCCTAAAATAATGATAAACAAATATTTGTCAAATCCCGAATTGGATATGGAAAAGACACATTTCTAAATAGGTCAAACTGTTAAAAAGGTCAAATTTTGTTTTTAATTCATATTATTTCACAAAAAAAAAGATTCTTGCATCCTGCGGCTTTAGTTTATTAGTATAACGATAATAATATGTATCAATTTATATTGTTTATATGTATACTAGCAGACCGGCCAAGCGTTGCTGTGGCTAAGGTTTTTGTTATATTACATAGTAGTAAACTATTCAAGGGAAACGGTAGGAGAACACCAGTCATGGGGATCACCATGCTTTTTTGGTGGTTATGCCATTAAATTGTAGCTTATGTGAAACGTTGGTACTGGTACTTTCAACACAGCGCCATCTGTTAGAATTTCTGACTATCAAATAGTAAACAAATATTTTGCAATAAAATAATATTGCGGGTATAAATTGAGATGTAAGCTATCCTATCTTTGAAGTTAGATCAAACTGCACACGGTGTGCAAATTTGATTGAAATTGGTTCAGTAGCTTAGGAGTCCATAGCGGACAAACAACGTGACACGTAATTTATATATGTATATTAAGATACTTAGTGTAATCTCAATTTCTATTCCTCTACAAGAAGAAACACAAGATCAAAAAGAATTGTAATTTCTTTGTTCTAATATCATTAGAGCAAATTTTAATATTTTTGTCGTATTGAGAACTTATAAGAATAAGAATAATTTTTATTTTCTCCCATATAACATTTACAACAAACAATAAGATAACAGTTGAAAAGGCATTGGGAGACTGGTTTCCAAACTAGGCAAGAACCTGTGATATGGATAACCAGGCTTCTACGATTATATTTTTCAATTTAATTATTTTTCCTTGCTTTAAGGTACACCTTAAATATACATTTTGTATCCATTGTAAGTGTAAACATTATGCGGGTATATCATAAACTCTTTTGCTTGATTTATAATTTGATACATTTTAGTCTATAGTTATTTTGGGCTGGCGATCTGAGTGAGTTGTTGCCCCACATATCTTTATGGTGCCTCTGGCGGTATTGTTGTGTACCGGGTTGTGCAGCTCCCTCAAAAATGGTTGAGCTGCATGAGCTATTCGGGGCATGCTAGCCGTCTGCTGGCGCAGGCTTGCTCAGATCGATCTGGTTCTTTCTTCCAAAGACCAGTCCAGTAAATTACTCTGCATTTGTTTACACCAACTTATTAATTTATTATTGTATTATCTG